ATGATTCTGACGCGGTCGTGATGAGTTGTGTGTCGCCAGTATGCTAAAGATAAAAACAGAAAGAACTCATTTGTCATCGGAAATAAAACGATGAAACTTGAGAACATTCGTGACCATGAACACAGTAAGTGTCACATTGCCTGCGTGTCTGTCTCTGGCTCAATCTGAGCCTCTACTCTCGAAAACTTCTGTGACAGCGCTAATGGCAATGTCAGAGCAGACCAGCAAGAAGATGAAGCTACTGTTTAGGACTGTACATGCCATTGGCAAGAAGGCCAGGCCACTTTCTGACTTCGAGTGGATGTGCAAGTAAGTGAAACTGTTTTTCCTCCTGTAATGTTTGCTAGACTAACATTTTATATGAAGCTATGGTAGGGTGACCATCAGTCCTGTTTTCCCAGGACATGTCCTGTTTTCACGTCCTGTCCTGGCCGCCCTGGCTGTTTTTTTTCAGTCTGATACATTGTCAGATCTCCTTATGGTCCAGCTGTCCTACAGAGAGTATGATCCAAGCAAAGCTGTGATGCTGTGGCACCAAAACTCTGTTAGGAGTAGGAGGCCAGAATTCATGGACCATGCAAAAAGTGTAATTGCGGTAGAGAGTGAGTCGTCGGATGACTGAGGTTTAAGTTCTGATAGTTTTACAAAACCTTCAAATGTACTGTTATGAGCGCTAGTTCCACCTCTTCCATGTCTTACTATTTGTTGCTCTGTTTTGACTTCTATGTACACTTATTCATTAAAAATACCATATCAATTAAATGTACTGAAATTAATGTATATGTGATTTGGCCGGTAAAAAATATGCTTGGCTGGTGGATTTTTTCATCTACCAGTCCCCGTGGCAGGTGAGCCAAAAAGTTAATTTTGGACCCTGGGTGCTAGTGTTGTAGTCCTCGAGACCGGTCTTAAGACCACTTTTTGATGGTCTTGTCCCAGACTCGACCGCATTTGTACTCGGTCTTGTCTCGGATATTGAGGACTTAGGATTTTATTTCAAGATATGGATGTAAAACATATTGCTTCAAATGCAACCAATAACCCTAATTAAAAATGTGTTGTTATCGTAACAACCGTCCCCCTTCCCCGCGATGGTCAGCATGGAAAAGGAGTGTTGAATAAAAATGCTTACGTTGATTTCAGCTCTTAGTGTTTGTATGTGGGTGTTTTAATGGGAATGAATTTGAGAAGTACCTATGATCTCGTTCCACATTTTATTGTATGTCGTGTAATGTGGGGAACTGGTCTGGACTCGCGTTTTCTTGACTTTGTCGCCACTTTCTCCCGACGAGTACAAGCATCACTGGCAGTAGCTTTTGGAGTTTCTTTCTGTAACTTTCTTGTTACTGTGCTGCTTCAGCACTGTACTGTTTGCAATTGAAAGCGTTTTGCTGGTCGCACAAAGTTTACAATACGTATTCATGTCAAGGATGGTGCGTTCAGTAGCGCAGTAATATTACTGTTTTGGAAATAGTAATCCATTTCACTACTAGTTACTGGGAAAAGTAATATTAATGTGACGCATTACTGCCCAACATTGTTCAGGAGGCAATACCTGTTGGGCTAGAACAGCTGTTAAAATCATAGTTTCTTGTTGCTATTGAAGAAGTAACTATCTGAAACATTGCTGCAGGGTTGACATGCTCTTTATTTCAAAAGTGGCAGATGCACTCATTGTTTTCCCTCTTCTTGCATAGTCAGTTATGATGCATAAAGTTCTGATGTGTTCAGGATGTGACAACATCCATGACGGTAACATACAGTAGTTGTCTGCTGTCTCATTTTCGAGGAGTAGCTGTCATAAAAATACCCAAAATTACTGGGCCACATGCCACAGTTTCACTGTTTCCTTCTCATAATGAAAGCTAGATTCCAGGCTGTGGTGAGGGTTAACCCAAAAGTTTGTTTTGCCAGTCATCTTTGCATGCTAATTGTAATGGAGCTTGTGGAGCAGATTTTTTGTGATGAAATGTGTATTTCTGCCAGAGTGAGATATGCTGCAATGCCACTGGTGAAACCAGGTAGAAACAGGACCAAATAATAATAGGCTATTGGCCATGGTTGAGCATTTGTATCCCTGGTGTTCTCCAGCAGGTCATGACATACCATCCCTATCTGTGCTGATTGGTGCGAAGGAGGGCATGCTACTTTTTGTAATCTCAGAATGAGAATTGGATTCGTCCGGCCCTGTATTGAAGAATACATGAAACTAGCGATTGAGATCATAAACTTATTAGGAAAGTGTTTACTGAGGTAATAAATTAAGTGAGAAGTAGGGTCATTTTGTCATTGAGTACAATGTAATCTGACTTCGTTTTGCAACCACCCCCTTTCATTAGAAGGAATGCAGGTAAAATTCTTTCTTTAACATTGACCTCACTTTTTTCAGACCCAGAGGTTAAACCCTAATGTCCAAAAAAGTAGCCGGAGGTTGTATCCTCCCACCACCACCTACAGCCACACACAGCCGCCTCCTCCACAATAACCAAAGGCTATTCCTTCTAACACTTGTGTGTGTGTGTGTGTGTGTGTGTGTGTGTGTGTTCATATAAATGTATTAGTGAAACATACGCTTCTTTTGGGGGGGAAACACTTACACACAGCTGTAATTAAAAGAGGATGCAGCAGGTGCCTTCCAGAGGATGTTGCTGGTCCAACATGGCCTACTGTTTGTGTCTAAATATACCAGTCTCATCAGTGCATATGAAGATGATGCATTATCTAAACTATAGAGGCAGTAGAGAGCTGAAAGTAGATGCTCTGAATTACAGTTCACAATAGAGATTCAGTATATTGGCACTATTCCCACTGGCACATAGTTGGTGTTGACCGTTGGCTCTGTGGCTCAGAAATCACAACAAACCCATTTCCTTCTGCATACTGTCCAACACATCACATCTAGTTTCAATAAAGCCTTTATATTCTGTATTATCAATTCTGATAACGCCCTTAGTCTAAGCAGTCAGATGATGCCAGACAGTTGACTGCACTGTTGTTGGCTTTGGAACTTGAGATGATAAAACGGTATGTCTTATGTAATGCTTTAGGCTTCTCATATGACTGCAACTTTCCCAACTAGTTGCAAATGTATATTAATATCAACTGTACATCACAAGCCCAGAGTATAGGGTATGTAGAAACAACTCACAGGAGCCTCATCCATACTTCCTGTTGATGTATGACTCAGAACAACCACATGAGGACATGAGTCTTTGTGCGCAGAAATCCACATTGCATGCTGTCTTCCACAAAACAAAGTTTCTTCAGGGTAAGAATAGTGGCCGTTCTTCTAAGCTCAAGATGAAGTCTTCCAAAACCTCATTTTCAGTGGCCGTTGTCAATGCAGATATTTAGAGAGCAGGGCGGCTGATATGCTGATATCAAAACAATGAAAAGTCATGTATAATTCCATTATGCCATACATGGTCAATCTAATATACAGTGTTGACTTAGCCAGTAACGTGTTGCTGTAGGTGGAACTATTATTAATTAATGACATAGAGAAATAGATTGGGTTATGATGCAGATTTCAGAACATGACTGGGGTTTAAGGGAGAGTGGGGTATAGTTTGTCAGAAATGACGTCATTCAACTGCATTATTCTCTACAGTATAACAATATATATTTGAAGTTTACCAGTAATGGTTTTGATTAGACCTGCTGTCATTTAGGAATATATATGCCTTGTGAGTGCGGGTATCGGTTGATGCTGATTATCTCAAAATGCCACGCATATGCCCAATTAATTGGCCGACCTCCTTATAAAATATAGTGCTTGTCTGTAACTCCATGGCCCTGACATATTCCATATATAACTTACTTATGTCCATCTGTAAATGTGTATTATTTTCTAGAGTGGATAAATAGAATTTGGCTGTCTGCTGTACAACTTTGTGACGTTTAACACTTGTAGAGCAAGTGTCAACAAATGATCCACTTCTCCCAAGATAGAAAGAGAGTGAAGCCCACTCTATTTCTCTACCATTCTGGAGGAAATGTGGATATTATGTGGATACTATTCTTGTAAATTGCACCTTGAAGTATTTATGAACGGTTTTGTACTGAGTGTTCTTGTGCTGAGAGGTCTGAAGAAACAGTCAGGCTAAAGGCATTGAAGTATGAAGCCTGCATGACTTTATTATAGTCATTAAAGTTGTCAGTAAGATGCACACATGACGGCAGAAATGTGGTCAATACATGTCAAGGTTGAGTTGGAAAGTGAAGCAAACAAATATGGATGTGTTTCACCAGTAGGTGTTTGTGGGAGTACTGTTGGTTTTATTTTCTCAGATTGTATAACCTGATATGTACTTACAAATAGTCAGTAAGTTTGACCTATTTGCATGTCCACTCTTAACCTAACATATAGCCAGTGAGCGTAGTTGAGGTAACAAGAAACTATCTTGATACATACTGCCCAGTGCCATGGAGAGAGGGAAGGATTTTGTGATGTGGAATAAATGTCCCTGTGGCAACACTGCATGTTAGGAATAGCTCGTAAAGACATTTAGGAGCACAGCAAAATGTTCAAGTAACACATAGTTACTGGCGGGGGGGGCTTGTATCTGGAACCTGGACATTTGCCTTAAAATCTTGCCAAATCTGCCAAATATTCCTAAAACATTGAAACAGATTTGTTTTGAAAATTTGACACATTTAAAACGTGGACACAGATCACAACACATCACAGAAAACTCTACTGTGATTGGCAGATTGCGGCTTGTTGAATGTGGAACAAGGGACAGGTGTAACTGAGGAGTTCAACATTTCGAAAGTTTTCTGTAGCGCATCACCCTTTTTTGTATGTCCCGCCTCCATCCAGTCTACAGTCAGCCTGTTCACGAACAGTGACATTGATGATCGCATTGCCTTTAGGAAAACATTTTTTAACAAAAGGCACCTGATGTAGCTGTCGCCAATCCATAAAAAATAGAAGGGATGTTCATAGTATGTCTTTTTCTCTTGTCTTTTTGTGCTTCCAGACGTTTTGTCCCTGAGTCATGGCAGACAGGAGAGCGGAGAAATCATGTGAAGAAGCCAGCAGATCGTTAGCCAGGCGAGAGTACGAGGCAGCAGTCAGCCACAGCACGGACGCCCTGGTGGTCCTTGCACCCCAAGCCCCATCTTCCAGTGTCCCTGTCCCGCCGAGCCCTCCATCCCTTGTCGCCGCCACCGGACCGCTCCGCAGCCGTGTCCTGCTCTACCGGATTGCTGCCTTCCTGCAGCTGGTGAGGACAGTGGCTGTTTAAGCATTGTTGCTGCCCTAACAAGAATGCAGCCTCTTTTCCCTCCTCCCATTTTGCTTTGTGGCCCCCAAATTCTTTCCATTGTTCATTATTACAGTCAATCACAGTTATGCAATTGAGGGAGGGATACCCGTCTTGTAGAATTATAAAGACACTACTCTGAACGGTCATATCGCCAAACAGAATATATTTTTTTCCTATCCCTAAATTAATTAATTACACTGTCATGCCGTAGGCCAATCATTGTGCATCAAATCCTCTGTTGTACTTCTAGTCACTCGGTAAATTAACTATGAAGAGCAGGTTAGAAATGAGAACAATAAATCTTACTTTCTTCCTCAATGGTACTGTTATGTTATCGTCCCAGAGCTCTAAAATTACAGCAGTTACTTAAGCCCTAAGATTATGGAAACTACTTAAGTCCTATAATGATAGTGTGAGGGACTCCGCTCTGAGGCTAAGATAGACATTCTTGGAGCTTATGTGAAGCTCTGACCTTCAAACACAAACTATTCCCATTTGTTATGGCTGCCACTTTTCTACTTTTTTTTTTCTCTTTCTGCCAACAGAAAAACTATGATGAAGCAGATGAAGACTGCAAACATGGTGAGTAGCAATTAAATCTGGAAACATCTGCTGATACTATATACAGCACAGTCTGTTTTTGTTGTTTTTTTACCTCGTCTCAGAAGAAAAGGGGCTGCCAGGGTCAGGAAAGCACCAAGTTTTAACATGGGCTTGTTTCTTTGCAGAAGCTGTTTACTTTGTGTCTATTGGGTTAATGGCTTTGCTGAAAGAAAATAAATGTTTGGGTCTGAAATTTGCCTCAGTTTTTGGTCAGAAGACAGGTCATATCTAGGGTCAAACTTTATTCCCCAGTTAGGGATGCAGCAATTACCGGATTTCACTATTAACCATGCTTTAAAATGTCACGGTTAATTAATCGTAAAGACTCCGCAACACGAGTGTTTCTGTTGCAAGGAACGAAACTGTGGCAACTTGCATGAAACAGAAATAAAGTTACAGGAGCGGTGCACCAGCTTAAGTGTTGTGCTTATCAGAGGCTACTGTACACTGGCTAAACTATGGCAGAGGGACCAAACTGTGAAGCTGTATTTCCACCAAAGGAACGGCTTAAGTCGGCAGTGTGGGAGCATTTCGGGTACACCAAGTCTGACCAGGGCGTTACAGAAGCTGACTGATCACCTGTTAAAAAACTTGCCTTTAAATGGTTCCTGCTAAAGGAGCGAATAACTACATTAAACGTGACTCGAGCTCGCGCGCATGCCGCGGTCAAAGCAGTTCAACTTCACACAGTGCAAATCGCTTCTTTTCTCAAAGTTCCTTTATGGAAGACAGAATGTAGTCCTCTAAAGACCTTCAGTCACTGAACATTTAACATTACATCATGTTGTTGTCTTCTCCTGTCTGTGTTGAGAAAATGTTGCCAGGTGTAAAACACTAACATACATCAGGAGCTTATAGACTTTCAGGACTACAGGCTACCAATTAACTGCATTTCAGATAACGCTGCACTCAATTTCTTTCTCTCATTTTCACTAAAACATATTTATGGATGAGAATTGATGACAGTTTATCCCCTCCTTTATAACAATTTCCCCTGGTGGATAAAAGGTGATATTCCTCTTATATTAATAATACTTGCATATTATAGAAATATAATTATTAATGTAATTAAATATTAATATTAAACATCAACTTAAGTGATTACTAGTGTTGTGAAATTAATTAATGCATAATAATCGTAATAATAATAAACTAGAGAGATTATTTCTCTGACAATAATCGTACCAACAAAATCTGTAATCGTTGCATCCCTAGCCCCAGTGGAGGTACATGTTAGTCACGACATGGTTAGCCAACTTGTAAGGTAAGCCAGATGTGGCAGGGCACTGTCAGCTATAGCCTGTTTTGTGGAATGAGGTGTGCTACAGTATACTTTCCGACTTTCAGCTGGAATAAAATATATAAAATTTCACATTTTCATTGAATTCTTCGCACAATTTTAAGCTACAGTGTTCTAGAGAGCTGACTTGGAAACAACTTATTACATATATTGGATGAAATCTAACACAACATACTGATTTAATTCTGTCCCTACCTGTTCCCTTTGTGTTCTTCATCTTGTCTTAGTCCTGGCAGAAGAGATTTCCAGGGGAGACGGTTCGCTACAGGCCAGTGTGCGCTCTATGCTGTTGGATGGCAGCCTGCAGGAGGTGGTCAGCATCCTCTCTAAAGCCTTGTATGGAGAGCCAATGGTATGTTAAGGAACAATGCATACAATGCATTGCTAGCAAACATACTTCTACCGGCCTGTGAGCTTTTAAACAAATCTTTGACAACCATCAATAGCCAGAATGTTTGGCAGGGGCCGACAAATTGTTTTATGTACAGTGTGAGCACTCAGGTTGTGACTTGGCAGTCGCACCATACAGTGTGAACTAGGGCTGAACGATTTGGGGAAAAGATCTAATTGTGATTTTTCTGCCAGATTTTTTGATTACGATTCGATTAGCTTTTTTTTTGTTTTGTTTTTTTAAATTGAAGTTTTGGTAAAGTTCAATATTCATTGCCAGTCTATTTTTGACGGAAGCCACGTCAAGCAGCATAGAGCAGATGAACCAGGCACGAAGTCAGACACAGAACGGCATAGAGAATCCGGTCGATTTTCAAAATAAAACACCCTTTGCAGACTCCCAATCGTCAACAATAAACACAGTTAAACAGACAAATGAAAGAAAAAGAAACAATTTAACAACGTAGCCTACTTAACCATGGTAGAAGCACAAAAATCAAGGACAACTGAACAAATAAGCAAAATCTGAACAAGTCAGCAAAATCAAATGGCCATAACACTCTTATTCTGAAATGCTCCATGTGGATATGTAACGTTAACCTGCAGAGAACGTAGCGGAACGGGCTCACAGAGAACCATTATCTGTAGTTGAAGCACACAAAATGGACAAATTAACAACACGTTAACAACGTGTAGGGAAAACGCTGCGTTGCTGAAACACTTACGAGTGAGTTGATGCCAGAAATGATCGTGGCACAGCTGCTGCCTGTGTTGGTTTGGCTGGCGCCATTATCCCATGTTTTCCTCTAGTTTTGTTTGTTGTTGTAAAATTTACGCGCATTGTGCCCACTCTGATTGATGACTAGGACCGTAACAGGAGGCGCATGGCACTTGTGATTGGCGAGCAGATCTGTCACAAGGATGACAACGGCATGAATCTGTAACTGCATGACTGTTTTAAAATGGGTCAGATGTGCTGCATGATTAACCCACATTTTAATCGCCGTCTTCACGATTAGCTAATCGCGTTCTTTCAAATCGCAATTTCGATTTGAAAACGATTAGCCCTAGTGTGAACACATAAATCATGAGCTTTGGTTTTTGCACAGTAGGAGTTGGAAATAAACATTTCTAAAATCATGCTGTGTATGCCCATCTTTAGATATTATGCCTGTTGTGGTGAACAACATATGTTGAATGTTGATGGACAGAATTGTCTCTCACCGTGATCTGAGATTCCTCAGTAATATCAGATACCGTGTGCTTAATGATTAATAAAGTCATGTCGCTTGAGTTTTTTAGAATTTAGAAAAACAAAATAACAACTGAAAAGGGGCTACATGATAATAAATGTCTAAGATGAAGTGAAGTGTAGTGCTCTACCCAGAGCTGTGTTACTTGGGTGTAACCGACAGACAGACAGGGTCACTCTTTATATCATATGCTTTTGTCCACTTTTTATTCTTTCTTCTTTCCCTTTACTAATCCTAACTGCTGTCTTCATATGTCAACATGCATATTGCTGCCAAGGTGCCTCCTCCAACTAAACTGTTTGCAACCACTTCCTGACCACTGCAACACACACACACACACACACCGACGCACACACAGACATAAGCACATATTCAAAGGTTGAGATTAGCCCCAAGGTCATCCAACATTTTATGCAAATTGGGACATTCCTTTTTTTTTGGGCAGGTCTCAAACAAACCGTATTCTGACACAGCTTGGGATGATTATCTTTCCTTCTCTGACTGCCCTCTCCTCCTTTTCTCCTCCCACCTTTTCACACATCATTTGAAGCCTCCCATTCTTAGGCCCCATCCACACTACTGTGTTTTCGAATTAAACGGAGACATTTTGCTACGTTTTCACCTCCCGTCCAGACTACAACGGCAAAAACTGTAAACCTAAAACGGAGAAGTTTGGAAACGCTGCCGACCCTGTTTTGAGTTTCGAAACTCCGAAGGGCATTTTAATGAAGACAGGCCAAAACTTCAGACTTCAGAAACGATGACACAGCCGCTCACGCTCAGCTCTCTGATTGGGTCTTATAAGTCATGCAAACCAAAAACACGATGCTACTGACCGGGTTTTTGACATGCCTTTTTTATTAAAATATTGTGTACTGTGCAAATAACACTTATCTGCCTCCACTTGTACTATGCATGTCGCCCTTTCACACGCATGCCCAGCGTACCCAAACGGGTACGGGATGTGCGTTTTCAGTCGTTTTAATGTAGACTGGGATCACCTCTGATGAGCAGCTAAAACACTGGTGTGGACGGTGATCGTATTTGTTTTAATTCTCCGTTTGTAAACTAAAATGGAGTAGTCTGGGGCCTTAGTGTTCCCTCGACTCCTCCTCATCCTTCCTTTCTTTGTGTTTTAATGTGGACCCAGGTGTTGTAAAGCTGTATTTCTGTGGGCTTAATTTTAGCAATTTGTCAGTGTTTTCACTCTAAAATTGGAGGACACCGTTCAGCAACACAATTGACTTTTCTCATGCACACAAGAAAAGTACTTGAGAATCTGAATGGAAACATGAGAGGAGGCTGAAAACAGTTCAGTTCTTATGTATTTGACCCATAACACTAGCCGTTCTTTACAGTGTCATGCAAGTGTGTTGACATCTTGTAATAATTTAGCCAACTGTCAACGGTGTTTCACTTAATCAATGAGTGACGCTTTATTAAAACATTTTTTAGCTTGTTCTCAACTTTCTTCCAAAGACCAGGCTAGAGAAGCTAGTGTGATCTGTACTGGAAGAGCTGACTCAGGTGCTCATTTGGAGTAGGATTGGTAATAAATTAACAATAGACTTCTTGTTACTTAATATTCACAAGTTTAAAATCAAAAATAGGAAAGCCTATTCACCTGTTTTTATCAAAATGCTTACACAACATATTTGAAGACTTTACCGGACTATCATCTGGATTCAACAGGGCCAGGGAACAAATGAACATCTTTGTTCATTGTGCACAGTGTATCAATTTTGGATCATCAAATACATCAAATACATCAGTAGTGCTAGAATAATTTCTGGTGTCATGTGCAGGTTACTGGCATGACATCCCCCCATTGAAGTGACAAATTGAAAGAGCAACACATATAAACTATAAACACCCAATTTAGATAATGCATGACCCAAAAAGGTTAGACGTTTTTATCACTTGTGTCCCTTTGGCATTCTTTGAAGCATAGCATCTACACACTGTCTGTGACTTTTCAGTTTACATCGCTCATCTGCGAATATTCCAAGTTGTGTAATTCAGCTTTTAAATATTGAGATGGTGATGGATTTTAATCTTGTCTGTAGATTTCTGGAAATAACATGATAAATAAGATTACACCAAAAAAATCTGTCTGTTTATTTAAAAGCAGTGAGTTTTATAGTTATCATGAAAGCACTAATTGCAAAGTGCTATGTAATGAAGATCTTTTTTTTCTTCTTCTTCCTTTCACAGAATGGCATTGTCACAAAAGACCTGACCAGATTAAAAATGCTCTTTTCAGAAATAGAGGTAAGTTGCTTTGGTTGCAAGGCTGCAAATGTTGCTGCTGCTTTCTGTCCTTTGTTCATTTGCCATTTGGTGCTTGTTGGTTTTACAGATGATGGGTTTATGCTTGGGCGGTAGGGGGGGATCATAAAGATGACTAATGGCCTGATTCTAACACTAACTTAATTATTTTGTGCTCATCTGCCTAGTAGCCTCATAGCTGTGGATTTATTACTGTCTGTAATAAGTCCAACTGCTTGTATGGCTATGTTAGTAGTTGACATAATAGTAATCATCTTTCTGCACACTCCGTGCCCTATCTTTCTCTGTCAGGCTATAAATAGGGAGATGGCACCAGAATACACAGATGACCAGGAGGAAGGTGAGCAAATCAGTACCATGAGTCGTTTTCAATCCTTCCCTCAACTTCAGAAAATTGAATGACACAAATTCCCATACATTAAAGTACAGTAGATATTATTAATATTTAGAAAGTCTTTACTCAGCCATTTGGCAGCTTGAGCACATTCTAAACAGGATACAAGCTGGCTGAAGCCCATCTTATAATGTTTTTGAAGGCTTTGGCTCAGCGTTGTATTGACTACTTGGCTGTGTGTGTTGACAGAGGTCCAGGATGGCTGGCAGTTCCGGCCTCCTCCCAGAGGAGTCACCAGCAGCGAGGAGTACACCCTCTGTAAACGGTAATACAAACTGTTGCACGCAGGTGTGAGTAATGAAGAACTTACCGCAGAGGAAAATTAATATGCTATGTTCTGCTGTTCTAGATTGTGTGAAAGACAGGCATTTAATTAAAAAGTAGCTTTCAGGAAGTCATGACAGTATTCACTTACACTGAAGCCTGTAAAATTAGGATTCACAGTAGTGAATTAAATTTGAAGGCTGACCCAGTTAGCTCACCTGGTAGAGAGCGCTCATCATGCACAAGGCTGAGTCCTTACTGCAACCCGGCTCTTTGCTGCATGTCATCCCCCTTCTGTCTCTCCTGTATTTCCTGTCTCTCTTCAGCTGTCCTATCAAAATAAAGGCCAAAACATGTTTAATTTGATCTGGTCTTCACTCTGAAGGAATCCTTTGACAAGCATTAGTGTGCATACTGGATTTTTGTTTTTAAGGATACCAACAGATCTGGTGAGATCTAGTCACATAACACATTTACAGATAACTAATAGTGGCACACATCATTGTTTATTGATCATGTACAGATGTTGTACAAAAATGCTGTCAAAAATCCAACAGTTCTAAATTTTCTATAGTATGAAACGCAAATTCTCACACTGGACATTGTAACTAGCAGATGTTTGGTATTCTTAGTGATTTCATAACATAAAACAATTAGTTGAAATGGTCAGAAGTTTTTAGTTGAATGATTTATTGAGTTTGTTTTAGCACCAGTTCAGCTCACTGTGTGTCTTTGCTGTAGGTACTTGGAGCAGGGTCTGTGTCGGTACGGGGCCCAGTGTACGTCAGCCCACTCGCAGGAGGAGCTGATGGAGTGGCAGAAACGCTATGCGTCACGCCTCATCCGCCTCAAACAGCAGCAGGAGAGCAAACACTTCACCGAGAACTACATGGAGACCCTGATAGAGAAGTGGATGAACTCCCTCTCCCCAGAGAAAGTGGTGAGTGCACGAAAGCTCAAAAGTGGCTTAGTTAATAGAAAATAGCCAGAACACCATATCAAGGTCATGGTTCACTTCCTCAAAGGGCCACCTAATCATAAAACGTGTGTATCGGACTATGTTGTGATTTTATTTAAAGCCTCTCCAAACTTTCATAACCTCCTCACCATGTAAATCTAATGGGGGCAGTACCAACACCCTTGTATAACCCAGCAAGCAACTTTTATATGCACACACCGAACATTGACTACACTAGCTGAGTTGTAGTTTCTAAATCTACTAGTTCAGTTGTTTATGTGCTCTTCTGTTAAGGTGACATTTAGTGTATTATCATATTCTAGCTGAAAGTAATGAAAATTTTAATGTACCAGTAAATTCTACTGTGCATATATTACCGATAATAAATGTACAGTAGAAGCAAACTGCTTACTCCAGTCAGGACAGTGTATTTAATTACTGCAGCTCTGTTGACCAGACAAACTGAGCCATGATATTGAAGGAGAGACATTAATAAGCCAAAGGTTGCATTCATTTATATATTGTTAAATTTCTTGTTATTGGCAGACTACTTTGTGTAAAAGATTTCTGAATACAGTTGCCGTGGTAGATTCTGTCTAAGCATGTGTGGGTTTTTTTTTCCTAGCTAAGTGACTATTTAGATGGAGTGAATGTAGAAACCAGCTCGAGCCTCTCTGTTACTGTCACCACCAAAAAGTCCTCTCACTCTTGGACCTTCTCCTTGTTGTGCAAGGTAAGATGAAATGTTGAATACCAAGCGTGTATACGTATTCCAGTGTTTTCTGTGTCTAATCAGATTGTTTGTCAGTATGAAACTGGAAAAATAAGGCAGTATTCTGCACTGCACACCTGACAGTGCTAGTGGTTATGTGTTCTGATTATCTTCTTATCTCTGTCTCCTTGACTAGCCGGCTAGAAAGCTGTACCGCATCGCCCTGCTCTATGATGCCCACCGTCCACACTTCTTCATCACCGGTGTGTCAGCTGGAGAGCGGCTACAAGCCGTCCCCAAAAGCTGCCAAGAGTGGACTCCAGGAGAGGAAACAGCAGGTATGTCATGTATTTATAATACGAGACCAGTGTCACATGTCCATTGTTGCCTTTTTTTCACACATCTCTGTCGTCACACATCATTAAGCTAGTATTGAATCATATGACAGTGCTGCTTTGAGGGTTTTAAAGTTCAAATTATTTGAACTTTTTTAGAATTGTATAACCAGAATAGGTTTTGTGATTCTGTTTATGAGCTCTACCTCTTTATGCTAGACAGACTTGTTTTAATTTGGCCGTATTTTGTCCTGTTCAGAGTAGCTACAGAGCCCAGTCAAGGCTGCAAAAAATCGTAAATTTAATGTAACAAAATGTCTTGTTTACAGCACATTTTAATCGCACGAAAAGTGGCTAGAAAGTGGAAATTGCAGCCTGTGTTGTTCCTTCATTTTGTCATCTTAATGTTAAAGTTACATCTCTCTTTTGTTTAATCTACAATAGATTGCAAGTTTAAAACTTTCAACTTTGTTGTTCTGACAGTGGCAGCAGACAATGGCCTGGACCACTGTGTCTACCAGGTAGCTGTGGGCTTCAGCACTGAAATCTTTGGTACCTTCCGACAGACCGTTGTTTTTGACTTCGGCTCAGAGCCTGTGCTGATGCAGAGGATCATGGTGGATGCTGCCTCTATTGAAGGTATGCTAAAAGCAAGAAAGACATCTGAAGGACTTTTGTCAGTTGTATATTTTTTACAAGTTTTGTCAATGTATATAAAATCATAAAGAAGTGACACGACTTTTTATTTTAATTTGAAAACATTATCTATTCAGGTATACATTGTTTTCTAATCATGTTAGGATGGGTATGTTTTCTTGCATGTCATATTTAGTAGAGTTTTGAGTTTTCAAATCTTTTGAGAAGATGCTTATTTTATGTGTGGATCACAATCAACTTACAGTACCAAATGCTTTCAACCGCCCTCTTGTCCTTTGTTCTCAGACCTAGAACACCTAATGGCGGCCAGGCAGCAGCTCTTGATGACTGCAAAGCGCTGGGATCCTTCTTGTAAGACCATCGTAGAATTCATTCCTAATGAAACGATGGCTGAGCTGGAACGCAGCCTCCTCTCCCGCTATCAGATCCCTCTGTCGGCCGACCAGCTCTTCACCCAGTCAGTCCTGGATAAGACTCTGACCAAAGACAACTACCAGGCCCGACTGCATGACCTGCTCTACATTGAAGAGATTGCACAATATAAGGAAGTTAGCAAGTGAGTATACATTTTTTCATGGTTTCTTGTAGTAAAATAGATTATTCCATAAATGTACATAATTCTGAATAAAAAAGCCTGAACAACACTGAGTGAGATATTTGAGTTAAACTTGTTGAGAAAGCCAGTAAACAATGGTAGTTGTTTAGGATTTAATTAATTCTAGCTTAAGTGTTAAGCTGTGTGCTAAAGTTTCAATTAAATGACAAAAGTGGAATGCAGACTAAAATGTGAATAAACTTACTGTGCAGTGCTAAAAGATAAGTTGATAAGCAAATGTATCTTGGTCACAACACTGCAGACTCCGTAGCCTTCTTGGTGATGGTAACAAGGTCACCATAATTTTTCCAATCCTGACCATAAGTATGTCAATATGTTTTGTCAAAAAATTATAAGATTGTAATTTTGACTCAACTGTGCCTCAAGAAGAAATCTAAATGTACATGGGATATGTGTCTATCTGCATATCTCCTACAATGCCAATTTAAAACCATAGCCTTGCTGTCTTGTCATTCTAAGGCGTAGACAAAACTAATGTTCCAAATGTCCAAATGCCAAGGTGACTCTGGCAGTGTTGACGAACACTGAAAGTATCCTTCTGAAAGCTACTAACAATTTGGAACTTGTGAGTTGAAACTGTTGCAAAACAACATTCACTGAAATCTAGCTTGGAAAACTACATTTCTAGTGCATCAGTCAAATTCGAAAACATATTATTTTATAATGTCATCCCAAATAAAAAAATAATCGTAACTCAAGGTCAACTTACCGTCCCTTTTTAACTGGAGCCTTTCAAAATTGCAATGCAATTGTGCATCCTTAACAACTGAACAGAAAACACTTCACTGACAGGTCAGACCAGTCTACATAGTGGGCCTCTTGTCAGTAATTTAGCTACAAATAGCAAACCTTGCTCTGTTGTGTTTTTTTATACTTTACTTGACATGACTACTTCTAAACAGTCGGTGATGGTTTTGTTTGTTTTTCTTTTTTTTTGTTAGTATGTAATAATATATTATGCATTCAATAATATAATAACATATGTTATTTATTCATTATTTATAATCTGACTACTTAAAATATATAGTGATTGTTTCAGTACATATACCAATGTGGACCCTATCTGAGGTAGAGTGGTGTAAATACAGTGGGTACGGAAAGTATTCAGACCCCTTTAAATTTTTCACTCTTTGTTTCATTGCAGCCATTTTCCAAAAATCAAAAAGTTCATTTTATTTCTCAGTAATGTACACTCAGCACCCCATCTTGACAGAAAAAAACAGATTTTTACAAATTTATTAAAAAAGAAAAACTGAAATATCACATGGTCATAAGTATTCAGACCCTTTGCCGTGACACTCATATTTAACTCAGGTGCTGTCTATTTCTTCTGATCATCCTTGAGATGGTTCTACACCTTCATTTGAGTCCAGCTGTGTTTGATTATACTGATTGGACTTGATTAGGAAAGCCACACACCTGTCTATATAAGACCTTACAGCTCACAGTGCATGTCAGAGCAAATGAGAATCATGAGGTCAACTGCCTGAAGAGCTCAGAGACAGAATTGTGGCAAGGCACAGATCTGGCCAAGGTTACAAAAAAATTTCTGCTGCACTTAAGGTTCCTAAGAGCACAGTGGCCTCCATAACCCTCAAATGGAAGACGTTTGGGACGACCAGAACCCTTCCTAGAGCTGGCCGTCCGGCCAAACTGAGCTATCGGGGGAGAAGAGCCTTGGTGAGAGAGGTAAAGAAGAACCCAAAGGTCACTGTGGCTGAGCTCCAGAGATGCAGTCGGGAGATGGGAGAAAGTTGTAGTAAGTCAACCATCACTGCAGCAATCCACCAGTCGGGGCTTTATGGCAGAGTGGCCGACGGAAGCCTCTCCTCAGTGCAAGACACATGAAAGCCCGCATGGAGTTTGCTAAAAAACACCTGAAGGACTCCAAGATGGTGATAAATAAGATCCTCTGGTCTGATGAGACCAAGATAGAACTTTTTGGCCTTAATTCTAAGCGGTATGTGTGGAGAAAACCAGGCACTGCTCATCACCTGTCCAATACAGTCTCAACAGTGAAGCATGGTGGTGGCAGCATCATGCTGTGGGGGTGTTTTTCAGCTGCAGGGACAGGACGACTGGTTGCAATCGAGGGAAAGATGAATGCGGCCAAGTACAGGGATATCCTGGACGAAAACCTTTTCCAGAGTGCTCTGGACCTCAGACTGGGCCGAAGGTTTACCTTCCAACAAGACAATGACCCTAAGCACACCGCTAAAATAACAGGAGTGGCTTCATAACAACTCCGTGGCTGTTCTTGAATGGCCCAGCCAGAGCCCTGACTTAAACCCAATTGAGCATCTCTGGAGAGACCTGAAAATGGCTGTCCACCAACGTTTACCATCCAACCTGACAGAACTGGAGAGGATCTGCAAGGAGGAATGGCAGAGGATACCCAAATCCAGATGTGAAAAACTTGTTGCATCTTTCCCAAAACGACTCATGGCTGTATTAGATCAAAAGGGTGCTTCTACTAAATACTGAGCAAAGGGTCTGAATACTTATGACCATGTGATATTTCAGTTTTTCTTTTTTAATAAATTTGCAAAAATGTCTACATTTCTGGTTTTTTTCTGTCAAGATGGGGTGCTGAGTGTACATTACTGAGAAATAAAATGAACTTTTTAGATTTTTGGAAAATGGCTGCAATGAAACAAAGAGTGAAAAATTTAAAGGGGTCTGAATACTTTCCGTACCCACTGTATTTTGTTGAGATGTCAACCCACCACAAGGTGTCAGACTCAACCTTCATTGTAAGTTTGCTATGTGAGAGACTCTGTATCTCTCTCGCACACACACTCACAGTTCCAGTGCCATCTAATAACGTGTCTACAGTGATTCTTTACCCGCTGCTCCACACTAAGTGCCATGCTGATTACAGGTGAAATCACAGTTAATATTTAATCCCACATTCCCCCTCTACTTTAAATGTCTCAGCTTTCCTCTTTGCTCTTAGTTTGATCTTGTCTCAGTGTCATTCGACATGGTAAGGAATTGAATCACGGATCCCTTCCTGTTATCTGTCCTGCAGTATGAAATGTTCTTTCAATCTGCCGCATTTCCGGTTTTCATAATCCCTCTACCTATTAAACCATCTATGTTCTGGCAGGTTCTAATGCTTTTCATGGCACATTGAGTTTCAGCAGGAGATTTCTGGTGAAGGGTGGATTTCCTCTATGGGATCTGCAAATGGCATACAGCTGTTAAAAGCTTGATTCAGTCCTTTACATTGCAATTTAGAAATATCTCCATTAGAATATATTTTAATAATCTCACGCTACATTTATTTCTTGCTGGATGAGAGTGGCAGCCTCCAATTTGGCAGTCTGGTATCAGGAGGTCAAGAAGCATCACCTGATTATCAAATGTGAATAATGGAGAAGCAAGAGTGCCTTGCTGTTTGTTTTTGTCCCTGTTTCTTTCCCTCAATGAGAGTATAGCCAGAACGCTGATGCAAAACCATAACAAGTCCCTTTGGTTACGTAATACCACTGGTTTGTAATTTAATACAGAATGTGTTTACTTATCTGCATATGTTAATCATCCATCAGAGTTCACCACCAATATTGCTTACTATTTCATCATTTCAGATCCAACAGAGACTAGAGAAGCAACAAGCTGGAACTGAATTTTGTCCCAAAAGCGCTTCAATCTTCCACAAAATATGTGCATGGATAAGCTTTGTGCCAGTGGTTGTTTTTCTCTGAAGGACTGACATCTTAAAATAATTTGGTTGCTTTTTAGTTCCCTCACTGATAAAGTTTTATAGTGGTGACCTTACATTTTGAAAAATTTCTAAGGCTATTACAAAATGACAGTAAATAGGTATTTAGTGATTTTCTGGAAACTATGTTAACCATATATTCAGCTTCAGACTTTTGTCTTCACAGTGGCCAATGCACAAACACGTGATGCTCAGCTTAAAAGTGATCATTTCTTTCACTATCCCCAAATATTTGCTCACCTTAACAGTGTATAACTGATTTTTAATGTACTGCTGATAAGAGTGAATGATATGCAGGTATTTATGGGGCCACTATAGCAAATCAAATGTCAAAGAATGCTCCTATGCCAGAGGCATGAATGCATGATGCACTTGGTTTCACATATCGCTGTTTTGATGCACTGACAGTTTGGTTATTAAATGAAGAATCCACAACCGCTTATCTTAAGAGCAAATGTATGCTTGTGTCCGGAGTGAGACTATACAGCAACCGAATAATGGTTATGTGGCAGAAGGTAGAACCGTTCCAGGGTTAAAATGTCAGCAGTACAGAGAGGATAGATTATTCATAAGAGAACATATTGTGATCGTGGTACTAGTTTATTGATAACACTTGACAAAACTTTGTGATTGTGATCCTTTTTTAACCTTGATTCATCTGCAGTCTGCAACAGCATAACCAAATCTCCACATTTCTCCCCCCAGGTTTAACATCAAAGTTAACCTGCAGCTTGTCACCAGCTTTATGCTGACCGGCATTTCTGTTGGAGCCAAGTATGCCCAGAATGGACAGCTCTTTGCACGCTTCAAACTTACTGAAACACTTTCTGAGGTAACTGGATTGGTTGCATTGGTAATTGCCATAAGCTTGCGACATCGGTGTCTGCCTTTTTACTCTAAGTACTCTAACTATTTGTTGGTGGCACCTGGAGCCCAGAGGTGTTAGCTAGCTAGATCTCCTGAACAGTTTTTCCTTCCTTACGTCAGGACACATTGGCTGGGCGGCTAGTGATGACCAAGGTGAATTCAGTCCTGCTGCTGCCATTGAACCGTGAGGGGGTCAGCAGCCAGCCTCCTCCTGGGGTGAAAGAGCGTGTTTACGAGGCTGTGATTGAGGAGAAGACCAAGGACTACATCTTCCTAAGGATCTGCAAGGACTGCTGTCTTGAGCTGGGGCTACAGCCTGACAGAGAAATACAGGTATGAGCTGCGCCAAGAGGACACTTGTGTGCTTAAACATGAGACATCTCTGTCCTGCTGTCACCACCAGATAGTAAATAGGACTGGTGGATTAACAGCAGTGGAAAGGGCTGGTGATTAATCTCAACACCCTAAGAGATTTTAGTTAGCGTTCAGCTCACGTTTTGGCCTTTAAAAAAAACTTCACACAGTGAGTGTTTAAGAGTTACCTGTTAATTAGCATTTCAACAAAAGGTTGCTAAACAGAAGAAGACTTCTTTCCAGGAAAACCTGTGTGTGCTAGTGCGTCTGTTTGAGCATTGACTGCTGTTTTGTCTCTGGTTCTGAGAAATCTCCCTTTATTGAATGACTTTACCTTTTGGCAGCCTCGGCTTGATATTTCTCTCCCCTCCAGCCTGAACGTCGGCAGATGAAGCAAGGCTCTGTGTTAAGTTATCAGAACGCCTACTGTGGGAGCATAATCATCTTATTCTTCTGCATTCACTGCTCCTGCCTGCTTACGAGCTACAGTTTCATTTCCCTATCTTCTCTATGGGTTCTTACAATATTCCACACAGCCTTGATGTTTCATGCTCTTCTAGCTCCCACATATCTGAGACTTTCCGGTTCTTGTATTCATTGTTTATTTCACTTTCTTGCCCACTTTCCTTCTTACTGTGTTCACTCTTCTTTTTATCTCATTTATTTTTCCCCCTCTCCTTCTAATTTTCACACTCCTATCCTAAAGGTATTGCATACTTTACAGTATACCTGTTAAGAGCCTGTCCTCTGTCTGTATGATGATGAGGCCCTCCAGCAGTGAAAACAAAATCTTAGCAATTACATAAAATTGGTTTAAACCAAGGGATTAAATAGAAATGTAAATGCACCAAGGTCCCCCAAGACATCAAAAGTAGAGCACTGTTCAACCTTGTAATTTATGGCAGGGCCGGTGCTAAATAAACATGGCGCGGAATTGAAAAACAGGCACTTTTTGGGGGCCGTTCCAGGTGTTACTGTCCTGCCCAGTGCCCCACTTTCTCTGACTGTGAAGAATCTCCATACCATGAAGCTGGTTTTGCAGAATGATGCTGCTGTTTTGGGATTATTGTTTTCTTAATTGTTTTGGTGCACTTTGAATTCTGAGATATTGACAGGTGGACACACATGTATGTCTGTATAAATCCGGTCTATGCAGTTAAATTAGCTGTAGATGGGCTTCATTCAAGGTCTATAAATATCTCAAAAAATGAGTATCAAGATATTTAGAGAAAAGAGTTGGGATGCATCAAATCGTCATTTAGCTGTAGAGCAACTGGCAGTATTGTGGTCTTAATTGGTTGGTCTAGAAAATAATTTAATTTGAGTACTCGCACTTAAAATATAATGCTTAATCCTCAGAGTGGTGTGATGTATTGCATGTATTACATGTATTGTTTTTAATGAATGTGTTTTTCCTATAAATCATGAAAGAGATTAATGAGCTCAAGTTGTAAACCTATTTGATCCAGTATAATGCAACCCTAACAAAATCTTTTTGGAATCTTATCAGATTGATTACATTGTATTGCTTCTCTGTAGATGGACATAGACAAGTTTGGTGGATTGACTGCTGAGTAAGCTTTTCTGTATTGCCTCTGTGTAAGGTGGAGCTCCAGTTCCAGCTTAACAGACTGCCACTGTGTGAGATGCACTATGCCCTTGATCGCATCAAAGATAATACCATCCTTTTCCCTGACATTGGCCTTGTACCCACCATCCCCTGGAGCCCAAACAGGTGTGTATTCCACCTTCACACATACATTGAACGGTTGAAGGCTGATTCAGAAATGTGTTTTACGTTAAAGGCAACCATCAATATTTTATTCAGATAGAATGGTTTTCACCTCCTTCATGCTTGTGTCTCACTCCATTGATTCAGTGAGAACTCTGTGTGGTACACAGAGGCAGTAATGTGGTACATTACTGCCTTTAAGTGACTGGAAAATAGGCAAAGACAAATAAATGAATAAATGAACACATGGCTGATTGTTTCATGTTGCTGTGTGGAAGAGGGAACCTTCTTTCATGTTGCGGATGAACAATGTGGATATCTGATAATAAATAAAGGCTACAACTTCCATTTATATAATTTTAACCTGTTGAAAACAGACGCCCCCCCCGGTACCGGGGGCTCAGGGCAAAACCTCTGATTTCATTTTTCAATTTTCACCGTTTTAAGTCCAAAAATCCACCTTTTTTGTTGCTCTGAGTCCCAGCGCGCACCATCTTGATTATTGCGCAATACCCATGAGCTGCCTGCCGTCTCTCGTCTGTTTCTGCAGAGCATGTGTACTAAAGCTGCACTTCTCATAGTGCCGCTTTAATACGCATGGTCTTTTTGTCCATTTTCTGGCGGACCCGTTGGAGATACATAGACATGCAGGGTATTAAATGAAAGGTCTGCACAAGATGGATCGATTGATCATTACTGTGGGATGTTCCATTGTCAATCTACAGGCCTGTAAAGCATGGGTGTACTTTTGTTGAGAGGAATGTTGATGAATATTCACTGTTTTTATCAATATTTCAATGTTTTGTTATTTGGAACTTGGTTGTATGGACAGAAATAGGGTTTTAAAGATATCTCCCCGTAAAATTCAACATTTAAACAATAAATATTGGACATTAGCCTGGTATATTTAGAAAATATTGTATAACTGGTATTTTAGTTTATTTTCATGGAATTTACAGTTAGAATTGCATTCTAGGTGTATTACATGATATTCAGTTGCATTATAAGCTTCCTTACAATGGTTTTGATGGTTTATTACATTAAAATATAGCTGTTTTTACCATTTCTTCTGTATTGCATCTCCATGTAGTTTGTAATGGTAAAATAAATATGTTAATGTACAATGGATTTATATTCCTTAGCTTCTGACCTTTCAAAGGAGTCCAGAATTATGCTTCTAGGCCAAATGGTTGAGGAGTTATTCCGGATTCATTTTGGGTATGTCATTTTAGGCGTCTTTCCTGAAAAAGGGTGTCCGTTTTCAACAGAGATGGAAGATGTTTGGAAAGAGTATGTACACATTCATGCATAGTAAATACTGCTAATCTTAAACAGTTATTATACGGAAATTAATGTAATACCTGCACACATATAAGCTTGACAAATACCTTGACAGAGGAGACACCACATCATTTCGAGAGTTGAGCGAATATCTCTCGCCTTGGTGACTTGCGGCCATCCTGAAATGCTGGCAGCTCCTTGCAACTTTAGATATCTCTCTCTGGAGTTGGACAGGTGACGGGAGCAAGGCAGTAATCTTTATTGACTAGAGCCAACTATAATCCCCTGTGATTTTCAGGGCAGCGGCTTTGTCTAGGCTCCAGAATATGGTTGTTGTAGAGTTTTGTTTTAATTGGGAATGTGGAAAAGTGAGGGTGTTTGATTAAATGTGGGCCAAGGAGTGAATTCAGCTGAAGTTGGTAGTGGTCTCTTTCACTCACTCACTCACTCACTCACTCACTCACACTCACACTCACACTCACACACACACACACACACACACACACACACACACACACACACACACACACACACTCACACACAGGGAGTTTGCTATATGTTAAGACATAAATGTGTTACTGCAATTTAACTTCTGACTTGAGTTGATCTGATCTGTACTAACAACCAGCATGTCTAATTTATTTAATATTGTAAATGTCAAATATCAATTAAGTCAACTGCATGATACAATGACAGAACATTTGCATATATTATGGAAAACAAAGTAATGTGCACGCATTTACTGTGATTCTGTGCAAGAATCTTTCTTCCTCACTTTCTCTGTCCCACTGAAGTTATTTGGATTACCAGAATATTTCTCTGTCTCATGTTAAAAGCTGCTAATTGTTTTTCAGGCAATATCTAACTGCTAAATGCTTGAAAACTGCTGCTTAAATAAAACAAACAAAAAAACAAATTCTGTATGTTCATTAAAAGTTCATCTAATGATTCATCTAATCATATCCCCATCCTCCCTCCGCCCTCAGGCAGTGGGACGAGCAGCTGGATCCTCGCCTGAATGCCAAGCAGAAAGAGGCCATCCTGGCCATCACCACACCAGTCTCTATTTCCCTGCCCCCGATCCTCATCATTGGGCCCTACGGCACCGGCAAGACCTTCACCCTGGCACAGGCTGTCAAGCACATCCTTCGCCAGGACCACAGCAGGTCTGTAACTGTAACCCTTTTTTCTTAGTCATTTGACGATATTGATGATGACAATACTTCAAATTGTTGGCCTACCTCTGTTTCAAAAAAAAGGGGTGACAAAGGTTGGGCTTTTTCATTATCATCGCGATTGTGTTATATTTGGATCACCACAGTTTTAAAGCAAAGCAGTGTCAAAATAACACCTCTTTGTGATTTGCTTTTGTGTTTGAATATGGCCGTTTTATTCTTCGGAAATCACGTGTTTGAACTGATAGCTTAGAGCACTGTCCTCCTTCCTTCCAGCACTTGACAGCAAGTTGGGTTATTGCAATATGATTTTAAAAAATTTCATATTAAAAATTATACTTAATTATACATTATTGTGAACGATATGATATGTGGCACACCCCTAGTTGGCATCAATCATAAAAGCTTCAGATCGCAAGGGAGGCCAATTAAAGGGTGCCATCGAGGTATTGGGCTGTGCAGTGGTCTTGGTTTTAGCTTGAGGGCAGTGGGAGCCTTGAGTTTGACATTAAAGGTTTAAGAAAACACTGAGCTGCGAAGTGTCAAGCTGCGGTGTGGGGGTGTGGTGTGTTTGTACTGTGTGGACATGTTAGCATCCATCTCTCAGGGGGTCGTTTGGATGAATTTGTCATTCGTGGTCAATGCACATGGTTAGTGTTATTATCAATGCATTCATTATTACATTACATTTATTCATTTGGCTGACACTTTTATCCAATGTATATATGCTGTATATGTCAGAGGTTGCATGCCTCTGGAGCAACTAGGGGTTAAGTGTATGCTAAGGGACACAATGGTGTCTCATAGTGGATTCGAACCTGGGTTTCTCACACCAAAGGCATGCGTCTTATCCACTGGGCCACACAGTGTTGGAGAACAATAAAACATTTTTCATCATTAGTAAACTCCCTCACTGTGTGCGGATACCCACAGGAAATTCTGCAGTTTCTTGTGTTAGATGCAAAGCGATGTAGCACAAGCACATAAATGGTTCTCTGGTCTTTATGAAAAATGAATGCAATACTTTGGACAGTGTCCTCTGAACAGACGTGTAATGTAAAAGAAAAAAATGGCCCTTGAAAAATATGTAGCAATGTAATATTCATTCCTCATTTCACTGTGAATACATATAATATTCTATCTTTAGGATGAATTATAGATATTTTAAAAGCCAAGACATGTCGAAGTATACCCTCTTGACGAGTGGTGCCTGCTCATCATACTGTTACAATAAGATTTAACAGTTGGAAAACATTAGATTGCTGTGAGGTGTACCAAATATGTGTTTAATGTTCGAAGCTTTCTCTGCATATCTGTCACTATGTTCCACCACTGCTTAAAATGGTATAACTATAAAAGACAGTTTTGCACAGCTTTCAATTTTAAGTAGTGTACAAACTGACTTTGCTGGCTCTATTATTACTATTATTGTTATTATTGATGTTAGGCAAGTGTATAAAGATATTACGTTCTTCCTTTACTCATATTGTATGTTTTATAATATGTATGTGTATATGTATTTTATATATTATGGCATGTTGAGTAATAGTATTTATGTAAATACACTTTGATCATTCAGATGGGATCATAGACCTTAATCAACAAGTCAGTCAATCAGTCTGTATCAGTCCCTCCTCCCCTCCGCTGTTATTCACGGCCTGCAGGTAACATCACCTGGTGGAAGGAGGAGCAGCTGGTTTGTTTCAAGACATTATAGGACCTGCTAGTCTCGATAGCAGTATCAATAAGCTTAGACCTTAGGGATTTTCAGGCTTTGAGAAATTTTGGAACCGGGTATCGATCCCCATCCCTAGTTTTAACTGTGTTTATTGTTGATTTATGATTGGGAGGTGTTTTATTTTAGAAATTGACCAGATTCTCTCTGCTGTTCTGTGTCTGACTTCCTGTCTGGTTCATCTGCGCTGTGCTGCTTTTCGTGGCTTCCATCAAAAATAGACTGGCAGTTTAGCAAAACTTCAATAAAACAAATTGCAAATCAAATCGTAATCGCAATATCTGACAAAAGAAATCGCAGTTAGATTCCCCCCCCCCCCAAAATCGTTCAGTCCTACTGCGTATCATGCTTTATGTCTGACGTTGTTTGTCTTTTGTCTGTACAGGGTCCTGATCTGCACCCACTCGAACAGTGCGGCTGACCTTTACATTAAGGACTACCTTCATCCATATGTTGAAGCAGGCAATCCACATGCCAGACCTCTCAGGTATGGAAGCGCACTTACCTAAAGAAGATGTGATGGCTAAGGGCAGAAACATGCTAATGTGTGCAACAGTTATAATATGCAGTAGTGCCCTAAAGGAAACGTTATACTAAAGATATATTTCAAGATTCATATCTGTTTACATTTGTATGTCATGCTGCAGTTCATCCCAATTTTGAGAGACACTTCTCGGGTTCATGTGGTAGCTGCAAAAGTGTCGTAACGGACCCACAATAAGCCAGTTCTGATATACTGAAATGGCATGAAGACCCTAACTTGCCTTCAGTTGATTAAAAAAATGAAAACTTGCCTGTGCCTGTGACACATCTGTTACATTTTAGGTCTACAGCCTTCCAAAGCCCATTCATGCCTTACAGCAGTGGTAGTTTGACTAGTGTGAGCCTCTTGAAGCCCCTTATCTGGTCAGTTCACTGGTGTTTAAAGTTTGTGATATAACCAAAATGGACAGATTTCATATGAGGTTTTGGGTGATACTACAAAAATTGCTGGTATTAAACATCAACTCCGATACAGTTAAATTGAATCCTTTGTTCAGTGGCTGTGGCCTGTCTGTCAGCTGAGACCATGTTAGCCGGCGAGCATCTGTACAACACTCACTCGTTTATACACCAATTGGATTACCATTTTTGAAAAGCCTGCAGTCAGAATAATACCTCCATATTATACAGATGACTGGGCTGTTTTTGCCCCACAGCAGTGACAGTCAGACATTTTCTGACTTTTGAGATGTGACTTCAAGCCTCCAGTTCACAGGAGAGTTCCTGTGCTTTTTAGAACTGGAGGCAACAAACACGCACAAGTTCATTAAACTGCATCAGTAACTTCTTCTAATCGCGTTTCATAAAAACCAGAGGTCAGAAAGGACAGGAAGGCGATATCTGCTTTGACCAGCCAGCGCCCAACGTGACAGCTGTGTAAGGTACCATATGGTCAATCAAATGACTTGTTTCACATGAGTGGGTAGTCTGATTTCAGTGGATTCCAGTGTGAAATCCTCCATAACAACTGTAGCAACCTCCCCTCTTAGCTGCCCTTGTCCCCTTTGGGTAAGTGGACTTATAAAGACTGTATATGACGCTAATGTGGGGGACTAACCAACATCCCATGAAGGCAACATGTAAGTTCTCCCTGCAAAACATTCAATACTTTAATTAGTTTAACTCGTGTGAAGTGAAGCAGAAATGCATAAATGATGTTTATGCCAGATATGTCTTTAAAAAGTATTTTTAGCCAGTCATGAAGCAATCTAATGCATCACCTAATCCAAGGTTGCCCCTTGCTCCATCTGTACTCATAATGGAATATCATTATTCACCATTTCATTGATGTTGATGGACCATACTGCCATGCAGATGCAAGTCCTTGTTGTGCTTTTAATAAAAAGTCATTCTGGGAAATATGAACCAAAGTGAACTAAAACTAGATAAAGCCGGTTCGGGGAGGTTAAGCGCATCAAAAATTTAGGTTTTACATTCCTTTACACAATAACCTCATGGATTTAATAAATTTAACAAGGTATGTGAATCAAAACTAGAACTCAATTCATTCACAGTGCAAATTCATGCACACCAACGAGATACGGATGGGGGAAAATTAAACGTCAGTCTCATGAGGTAATTGCTCTTGTCCCCCTTGGGTTGCATCTCTTTCTCCTGACATTTCTCCTCTCGTCACTCTGTTTCCAGGGTATACTTCAGGAACCGCTGGGTGAAGACGGTTCATCCAGTGGTCCAGCAGTACTGTCTCATCTCCAGCACACATGTCACTTTCCAGATGCCCACAAGGGAGGACATCCTCAGGCACCGCGTGGTGGTGGTCACCCTCAGCACCTCCCAATACCTCTGCCAGCTTGACTTGGAGCCCGGTAAGTCTAATATGGAAAGATTTTTGGTCATCTCAAGTTTAGCAAGGCTGCCTAGGGATGGTTGTTGTGAACAACCATTGCCCTCAGCAGTTTTCTTTATCTTTGCCAGTTCAACTTTGAACCTGATAATACAGAGTTCTTAAGAATGGTTTAGACTTGGTAGGGTTTTCCAGGTGCAGAGGGATTAAACATGAAGGGATATGGATAACTGAAAAACACCATTTGCATTGTTTCATCTAAACTTGTTTTGTTAGGCACTTTGGGTTGTGTCTTGGCATGAAAGGTGCTATACAAATAAAGTTATCAAAAGTTATCACATTTGAAGAATGAGCACAGACTAACGGTGCCTGTAAAAAGACAAATAGGCTACACACAGAACAAAAACTTTTTTAGTTACCTCGGGGGTGAATGTAAACAGCAGCAACAACATGATAATAAGGTTTTCATCTTCACATAAGTCTGACATTTGGGAAACATTGTCCACTTTGACTGTTTTTTTAAGGACAAAGCATCATCGATGTAAACGTAGAGTCCGCCTCCTTTTTCATCTTCGTCTTTCATCGGCTCAGTGAGTGCTTGAGCTGGGATGTTGATAAGCAGGGACAACAGTCTCTGTTTTCCTTTGCTGGGCCAACCTGAATTCCAATTTTGTTCAGACCAGACCTTTAGGAGCAGCATTAAGTTCAAGCTGAGCCAGCATGGCTCCTTTCCCAGCTCTCTTTCCTCTCCTCTGGGCGATTGCCTTACCTACCATGGTGCCTGGTCCGGAGGATCAAGTGGATTGTCTCAAGGTCCACTGCTCTTTAAGCCAAAACCGCGGCTTCTTATTCCGATGACTGTTGTTCTGTCATAGGTAACACGTGTTTCTGCAATAAAGGAGTAAAGAAACCGATGAAAATCTGACTGGCTGCTGCTTCTACATGCGCTGCCTGTTGCCGTAACAGTACACAATATGAAAACCCTTTCAGTCTGTTTATAATATAGCAAAGCCTATCATTTTTAACTCTTTCTGTGTCAGATAGGGCTATATGTAAATGAGGTTGATATTAAAAATATCTTGTCCTACAAAATGGAAGGAAATAGCAGTCTCAACAATAGTTTATTTATTATAGGTCTGTGATACCGCACTGTGATACATTTATATTTTCTGTCAATATAAAAATGTAAATTAATACACATTGTTAATATATGCAATTAATACACATTGTAAGTATATGCAGACACAGCTCAGTGCAATCAGTTTCCTGTTCTTTAGTCATCCCCAGTGACTCTAATATCTGTTGTTGGCAGGAGCCCACCATTTAGAGGGACAGTGCTAATTTAAGTTGTGTAAAAGACATGGAAAACAAACCAGTTTGTCATTGCAGGCTAATAACCGACTCTAATGTGTCAGCAGAGGGGGCTTTGCGTGTTGCTTGGGAACACCATTTGCCTGCTTCTAATGTATTTTACATCATTAGCCCTCCTCCCCACATTTCATCTGTCCAGATCTCCTGGTGTTTGACTGTGATGAAAATCGCCAGGAAATTAGGCAACTGGGAGCCAGCGAGTCTACTAAGTAGCGATAACAAATCTCCTACCTCTAACACATAGATGCCCCCCAAAAAAGGCAGTTATGCTGCTATCTATAATATGTTTGGTTTGATGATTTTCTTCTTTCTTTATGGCCTAGATATGGGAGCTGCATGTGCAAACTCTACATATTCTGCACATGTATGGGGTTCGGTTGCATGCGAGTTAGGTGGACTGCCTATAGGTGTGTTCTGAGACGTCTTCAGCTACATCAGACCCTGGGGATAAAAAATAACATTAAAATGTTAATACACATTCATTCATTGTAGAAATCTGTTTGCTAGCTAATTCTACCCAACAAATGCAAAGTAAAAGCCGTTGAAAACCACATCAGAAATTTCTTCTGAATTGTAGCAGGAAAAAAAATGTAGCCTCACATTTAGTCCATGGTGTTTACACATCAACTCCAAAACGGTCTCTCTTTTTTCTGGGTGCAGTCTGGATTTTCTTAACTGGAGGCATTTTATTTTGAAGATGTTTCCTGGGGTGACATGCAATGTAGCTCTGTGCATTTGTCTACCAAATCCTCCAGCTGCTGTTCAGGCTCAACTGTATTCCTGTAATTGAGCAGTCATGGGCAAGTAATTATCTACAATTAATGTCACATTTAATTATTATATCTTAAGTCCAACAAAATCTATTTAAACGAAATACTGTAATTGAGCCAGTGTGATATCAGAGAATCGTGTGGACTTTGAGGATCATTCCATACTTACCTTTTTTTTCTTCTTTTTAGCAGATGTGTGTTATGTGTTTGCCTGAGCTCAGGTGAATATTGATCTGTCCGGGTGGCTACTAGATCGTGCAGCCTGGTGATAAAAGTTTAAGACTGCAGCTCTTACTGTAGTCAATAAGGGAATGTTATCTGAAATTAAGTTAGCTCCACACGTTGTGTGGCAGGCACCAGAACACATCCAAGAACAATGTTAAAAATTCAGTCACTGCTCAGAAAAGGGATAAGTGAAATTATTATGAGTGTGACAAAGCTTTCAAACCTGATCTTTACAAAGCTTGTTGTATGAGGTAGACTTATCTCACAGACCCTTTCACACTCACAGATAACAGATTTTCCAAATCACTTTTCCAGTGTGAAAAGGGTAGAAAGAAGCTGTGAAACGGAGGATGTGAGAGACTGGGTGTGTGAGGTGAAGGAGCTGCCATTTATTATTAAACATATTTCCCCAAAATCTTTTGCAACACTGTACCTCTCTTATCTCCTTCACCTCTGCTTATTATTCCGCGCTCTTTCTTTCTTTTACCACTGTTGTTTCCAAATTCAGAAACAGATGGCGCCTACTGAAATGTAATTTTGACCTCCGGGTTAGAAATAGGTTCCCCAAGGCACGCAGCTATATCCTAGGTGAAACATTAAGTACTGTGTTCTTTAATGTCTGCCCCTCTGCCTACTTCGTGCTAATAAAGACCATCTCTGCCCTCTGCTTGCCTCTCTCCTTATCTCTACTTCCCTGCCTGGAGAAACATTCCCTTTTGTAATGACCCATGTACATCATTTGCGAGCATTATAGTTAGGGCGGGCCTGAATATCATTTTTTGAGCGTTGAAGCTTTGAGCATTTAATCACTCATTCATTTCAAGCATTGTCATCACTCAGTTTACATTGCTCACACAGAGCTGAGGGCTTCATTTTTTTTTCCCTTTGATGTGAACTGGAGCATTAAGTTCACTGCTGTGGGTGGAGGTCAGGCGTGCGGGGGGGGATCAATATTCAAATCTCTAAACTGAAAATCGGATGTGCACCCAATGATTGAATGTTCAAATATTCGGGTCCAGTCTTAGTTATAGTAGGGGTCAACAAAAGTGCCTGGTCTTAATGATTAACTAAGTGAGACAAGGGGTAGCACATCTACGCTGCATTGTTCAGCAAGTAATTTTCCATGCAGTGATAAAAAGCATAAAAAGCTCAAAGCAGGCTTTAACAGCACCAACACTCAATCTTTCTCAACACAGAAAAATTGTGCATATTGGATGTTAATTCATCCTGTAAATATCAACTATTCAGAGATTACTCAAGTGCATGATTTTAAGTATATATGTATTATCCAGACATTAGTCATGTGCATGTTATACCCCATCCCCCCACCCCTTCAATCTGTTTTTAAATGGATTTTCCAGACATTTTTTCCCCGTAATGCATCTCATTTGATTTCGCTTTTGTTTGATACACCACTTTACAACTCTGAGGGGACATCTCACTTCATAAGCTCTGATAGATAAACCCAATTATACACATTCTGCAAATGTGTACGCTATTGTAACAAAGCCTTTTTTATTAGCACCACAGTTGGGGGAACAGTTCTAGCATATCCTTCAATGCGGTGCACACACAATTCAGAGCGAACACTGGTTTGAGGCTTTATAGTTTGGGGGTGGGGGGGACATGTTTTGCAGGAATTTGTTCAAATGCCGATACTAAGGAGTGAATGTTGCCTCAAATACAAATGCTCCACCTCTTTTCTTACCAGCCCATGTTTATGTTGATTTGTTTACTTTTTGACAGTCCCTGAGTTTATTTTATTATTTCCAACTGTCACATTTCATATCTACATACTTTACTGTGGAAATGGTGTTCAGGCTTCAGAGGCTGTTTGCTGGTTGTTATTCAGCCTCTCTTGCTGCTCCCTGCTCCAGCACTCATTTGCCATGCCGTTTCATCTCCTCCCCTCACACTGCCGAGCACCGTTTGAGCTTTTTAGATCAGGGTTAGGCTACTATTCAATCCCTTTCAAAACGTCCACAAAACCCTGCCTTTTTTTGCAGGGATGGTTAATAGTCGGAGAGGAAAAAGTGAGTCAGAGGATGGCACATTGGTGACAGTTACAGGGTTTTAATACTCCTGGTGAACAACATTGTTTATTAATGTGCTAGTGTAACAATAGTGACATTACTAGGTCTGGGTATTGGTAAGAAAAATTGGATTCAGCTAGATTAACTGAGCTTTGATTTGCTTGCGATTAATTTTGACACTTATTCTCAACATAGCAATGTTTTGTATAATGTAATTCCAAAGAATTTCTTTCAAAATCATATCCAGAAAGTTACATCTTAGTAGAATCTTGTCAAATGATTTATGAGGTTTGTGCTGTAGACTAACAAAGCGACGATGAAGTGATAAGGAAACGCTTGCTTTATTTGCCCTTTTAAGAGTTTTTAATGATCTCCTTTTAGCTGTTGACTCTGGAAACTCTGCTGTTTTAGTGCGTTTAGATTTGACTGCAGCCTTTGATATGGTTAACCACTCCATTCTCTTATCCCGACTCAAACAGTGTGTCGGCATTAGGGGCACAGTCCTCAAATGGTTCAAATCATATCTGGCGGATAGAAGTTTCTCTGTTCACCTCGGTAAATTTTCTTCATTTGCTGCCTCTCTTTCTTGTGGGGTCCCCCAAGGGGCCATATTGGGCCCGTGCTTTTTTCACTGTACATGCTGCCATTGGGGTCCATTTTGAAAAAACCCAATATCTCCTTTTATTGCTTTGCAGACGACATACAAATCTATTTACCTGTAAAATCTAATGATAAAGCTGCAACTCAGTCCTTGCTCAGCTGCCTGAGAGATCTTAAAATATAGGTGAATCAGAACTTAAGAATGAGGTTGTTGTGTTCAGTCGACCTGGGGATTTAAGTGCTTATGTAGATGCTCGTGGTACTTGAAGAACGTATAGTCGTCCATTTACCAAGAATCTAGGTGTGATCTTCATGCTTTTAAATTTGAAAAACAGATTAGTTCTGTAGTAAAAGCCAGTTTCTTTCTGCTGAGACTATTGGCCAAAGTCGAGCCCTACCTGCCACGCAAAGACTTTGAAAGAGTAATCCATGCATTTATAACGTCTTGACTAGACTACTGTAATTCTTTGTATGTTGGAGTGGTTACAGTTAGTCCAGAATGCAGCAGCTCGACTTCTAACTGGAACTAAATTGCGTGAGCACATTACCCCTATTTTAGCCTTATTCCACTGGCTTCCTGTCCGCTTTAGGATTCATTTTAAGATTTTATTACTTGTCTTTAACATTTTAAATGGGTTGGCACCTTATTAATTATCAGAACTTTTACATATACACACTCCGGTCAAAGCACTGAGGTCATCCAGTCAGATGTTCCTCGATGTCCCCAGATCCAGGCTAAAAACTAAAGGTGACCGACCCTTCTCAGTAGCTGCTCCTAATATCTGGAACACTTTACCTGTTGAAATAAGAAATGCCCCTACTCCTGACACTTTCAGAACCTTGGTAAAGACATATCTTTATTCATTGGCCTTCAAACAGAGTTGAGTAGTGACATTTTATTTTTTACTTTTTCTACTGTTGTTGTTGTTGTTATGTATATTTGTTGTCTATTGCGGAAAGCACTTTTGTCAGCTAGTGTTGTTTTAAAATGTGCTATATAAGAGCTACCAGTTTCAAGCATCAGTATCAAAAATCTAGAATCATTTGATTTAAAAACACTGGTTGTATGTTCCATAATATACAGTATCTCACAAAAGTGAGTTCAGCCCTCACATTTTTGTAAATATTTGATCATATCTTTTCACGTGACAACACGGAAGAAATGACACTTTGCTACTATGTAAAGTAGTGAGTATACAGCTTGTATAACTGTAAATTTGCTGTCCCCTCAAAATAACACATCACGCAGCCATTAATGTCTAAACCACTGGTGACAAAAGTGAGTACACCCCTAAGTGAAAATGTCCAAATTGGGCCCAAAGTGTCAATATTTTGTGTGGCCACCATTATTTTCCAGAACTGCCTTAACATTCTTGGGCATGGAGTTCACCAGAGCTTCACAGGTTGCCACTCTTTCACTCCTCCATGATGACATCACAGAGCTGGTGGATGTTAGAGACCTTCAGTATATCACAGTACATGTTGGCATTCATGGTTCCCTCAATGAGCTGTAGCTCCCCATGCCACACACGCTTGATACCATCAGAACCAAATAAGTTTATCTTGGTCTCGTCAGACTACAGGACATGGTTCCAGTAATCCATGCCCTTAGTCCGCTTGTCTTCAGCAAACTGTATGCAGGCTTTCTTGTGCATCTTTAGAAGAGGCTTTTTACTTAGGGGTGCACTCACTTTTGTTAACCGGGGTTTAGACATTAATGGCTGTGTGATGTGTTATTTTGAGTGTACAGAAAATTTATACTGTTATACAAGCTGTACTCTCACTACTTTACATTGTAGCAAAGTGTTATTTCTTCCGTGTTGTCACATGAAAAGACAGAATCAATTTTGTGAGATACTGTATATGTATGCTGTGTGTGAGGGGTTACTGTTAAGTAAATTGATGTTGATGTCCTATCTGTTTTTGCAGGGTTGTTCTCTCATATCCTATTGGATGAAGCGGCCCAGGCTATGGAGTGTGAAACCATCATGCCTTTTGCTCTAGCTAGCAAGACCACCCGCATCGTGCTGGCTGGAGACCATATGCAGGTGCGTACGAAGACTCAACAAGGGCAGTTACAAAATTTAATTAAATTTTTCTTTCTTTGAAGCTGCAAGTTTTTCCTGTGGGGGGGGGGGACCCTCAGCATTTCTTTACTTATTCATTAATTACCAGATAATGGAACTGCACATTATATGGTCTTGGGTTCTTGTCGTTATATCCTAAAATAAATGAAAATAATTCTTAGAAGGAGGGATGCAGCACAGCTGCAAATAGTAGCCGTGACATCAAGTAGAAGTAATAACTCCATTTGCACTTTGCTGTGGATTAGACTCCACTCTTGCCTACTTCAAATACAAAAGAACAGACAGCAGCCACCGTAGAGCTGTGGTGGTGGAGACAACTTTAGCCATAGATAACACAAATTTAAAGCCAACACAAGGAATTAAACCTTATTTCCTCCTCTCCTGGTTTTAGAGTGCACAGGATTAACAGTAGGCAATGGATGAGGATGAGGCTAGAGTCTACATTTAAATAGTTTAATTACTTGATCTTTCTCCCTGCTATTTCTTAGAGCAAAGAAAAAAACGGATTTAGAACACAGTGTCCACCTGTTTGTCCATCTGTCTCTTTCTAAATCACTTTTTCACACTTTTCTCCTTCCTCCTTTCTCTCATATATAACAGCTTAGTCACTACAAGGAACGAAGGTAGTCAAAGGAAGGATGCTGCCCTTTATATTTCTGTCTCCTCACATTCTCCCGCCTGCACTCCCTGCAAAAGTTTACCTCTGCCATTCAGCAGTGGAAGAACCAGCTGAATAGTCAATGAAGGCTCTATTGATTGTTTGCTTCCTTAGGTACTGTGTAGGTGTGTGGGGTCTCATTAACGCTAGCTGACCCCCTCTCACTGTCAGGCTTAAATTAAGATTCAAACTAAAGATAAACATGGCAGTGGTCTCAAAGGAAAAAGTAAAGGTGTCAGTTTTGCAAATGTGTAACCTCCATTTGAATCTAAGCACACTGGGATGATGGTCACAAATCTTGCTCACTTTTGTCTGACCAGAGGGAAATACAGATTGAAATAGTTTAGACTCTCAGGTACTGGAAGCGTTATTGGTATAGGCCTGATTTATTCAGTCACTTGATTTATTGCTTGCAAGATAAGAGGTATCAAATGCTCCCTGCAGTTTGGTATCAAACAGTCAAATGCTATTCTGCCTTGGCTTGCCAGCAGAGCCATATTGGAGCAGCTGTGATTAAGACTGGCTACTGCATATGTACTCCAAACAAAACTGAATTTGGCATGTTCTCAAACTGCTGTCAAATCTCTCAGAGTAAATTCCACTATAATCACTGTGACTCAAGGTCTGTTTGTTGAATGGCGTACACTCCAGATGGAAGAGCTTTCAAGTCACAATGGGAGAAAAAAGAAACATGCTCATCTGAAGTTGTTCACAACAAGAATAGTTTCCAAAGTAGTTAGTAGTTTTCAAAGCAGTTAAGGAAACATGCTAACATTTTGAGTACTATACCTAACTAATATGCCTTTTCAATGAAACCAGAGGAACCAGAAACTAAACTGTGAACTAAAAAGTCCTCTTTGTATGTTCCTTTTAGTATTTGACTGCTGTACACAAGTTGAAAAATGGGTTATATTCTACCATCCTGTCAAACCAGCTGACAAATCTTGCTCACTTCTGTCTGACCAGAGGGAAATATCTGAGATTTAGTTCAAATAAAAACGAATGACATTCTTGTAGACCTGACTGGCCTCACTACTTTATATGCCATGGAAGGCCAAATTAGCAAAGCGTCAACCAGAGGTGAAAAGTCTAATCAAGGAAATCGTCTGATGCAGTGTTTGGTGAAAAATTAAACGTGCCTTTCATTTGACCTTCAAAACAGCTCTGTTAAACTGGGAACAGATACATGAGACGAAACTGAAAATTATAGAAAGGAAAAGTAATGATTTGAGAGAGCGGTAAACTACCTTTGTCATGCTTTGAAACTAACTTCTCTCTCTCTCTCTCTCTCTCTCTCTCTCTCTCTCTCTCTCTCTCTTTGCAGCTCAGTCCATTTGTGTACAGCGAGTTTGCGCGGGAGCGTAACCTTCATGTGTCACTGCTGGACCGGCTGTATGAGCACTACCCTCCTGAATACCCCTGTCGCATCCTCCTGTGCGAGAACTACCGCTCCCATGAAGCTATCATCAAGTAGGTGTGAGCCCTCAACACTGCCTTGTGTTCGAAGCTGTGAGAGGAGAATCTGAAAATTTGGAGGAGGGATGAGATAAGCGAGAGAAGAGGTGGTGGGAGGAATGAGTCAGGAGAAAAAGGGCAAACGGAGGTGAAGAATTGACCGATTTGGGATGTCTAGAGATAAAAGGGGAGTCATTATGGCAGCTAAGACCAGGGGCTGTGTTGGTTCAGGTGAAAAGATTAAATATGAACAAATACTCCACTTTGAATGCTTAGCAGACACAAAAGTTTTCCCAAAATTGTGCTCCACTTCGACACTTGAGGGATACTCGAGTTTAACTGTGCTTTAGCACAATTCACATGGACTTTTTTAAGTTTTATATTTTGAGAAGATCGAAATTTTCATGGCACAAATATTCTCCATTCTCATATTCGCTTCTTTTTGCTTTCATTTTCTGCTTCCCTTTCTCTTACCCCCTTTTCTTTTCCTCTTCGTATAGCTACACTTCAGAATTATTTTATGATGGGAAGTTAATGGCAAGTGGGAAGCAGCCCTCCCACAAGGACTTCTACCCTCTGACCTTCTTTACAGCCAGGGGAGAAGATGTCCAGGAGAAGAACAGCACTGCCTACTACAACAACGCTGAGGTATGGGTTAGAAAAATATTGTGTGTGTGGGGGGGGGCAAACACCGGTAGCTTGTCGTGGTAGTTTGAGGTAGTTGTCAAAGTATGTAGTTTTGTAATTATAGAATGGGAGTTACAATTGGTTTTGTTGTTCTGCTGTGTCACACCTGATGGTGTTTGCATATGATCTATGAACCAGTCAATCAGTGGCTGAACATTATTAGGACAATCATTAGGTGAAATAGGAATTTGTGTTAATATGTACTGCAACACTTTTGTTTTTGCCCCCATTCATCATGAGCTGAACTCAAAGATCCGGAAACCAGTCAACATCTGGTTTTAGGTTGTAGACCGCAGTTTGATATAAATAATTTGGGGACTTTATTATAAGGAAATTTCATTTAGATTATTCAAAAACTGACCGCCTCATCACCATAAATTAGAACACTCACTGTCTCAGTCAAAATATTCATAATTGAAGATGAAATGCATAAACTTAATTAGGAGACCAACTAAGAGCTGCATTTGGCAGCTGACAGTCTGAGCCTTTCATTGGTTCCTCTGTAGACTCACTTGGTTGTGCTCATTAGCTTTGCCTGACCCTTGACCCCTTGCTGACATTGTTCCAGCCAATTAAACCATGGATGCTTCTTGATTTTGCTCCCAAAGTGTCAGCAATGCCAAATGAATTACCTCCTGTGTTTCTGATACAGCACACATGTCAAACCATGAACAACATTATCATAATCGTCCAAAATCAAAATGAACTGGGGGAAAAAAGGGTGTTTGTTTGTCATGTGCAAGGGTCTTTGATCGACTTAGCCTCAAGTCAAAGAAAATATTTCTGACAGTTCAAAGCCTCCTGGCAGTATGCCAAAGCTCTGAATTGGATTTGAAAAACTGCGTGTATGACCAAAAAAACAATAGGGATTCAAAATACCAATTCCTACTTTAATAACTAATATCTCGGCTAATTTAAATACTTGAGTGAAACCTCCTCATTACACTTGCTACATTTGGCCTTATGTAGAAGCAATAACATCAGTGACTTTTTTTACTTGGATTTTTGTTGCTGATTTTCTTCTGATTTTCTTCTGATTTTTTTCAGATTTCAGTTTCAAAGAATACATTGAGTTGGACATAATGATAGTCACCTGTACAGTGAAGCTTATAATGTTAAAAATGTGATACTCAATTAGTCCAACCAGAAGCAAGCCGGGCAGTTTTTTTAGGATCAAATTGAAAAACTGGATGTAATGACCAGTGTGTAGGATTTTGTGGCATCTAGCGGTAAGGCTGCAGATTGTAACAGACTGAAAACCGTTCTTCCCCTTTTAAGCATGTAGGAGAAACTACAATGGCTGAGAAACTTGTGAAAAACATGAAAGGCTCTATTTAGAGCCAATGTTTGGTTTGACCGTTCCAGGCTACTGAAGAAACATGGTGAAATGAAAACACAATGATTCTTATTTTTAAGTGATTGCGATTGAGCAATTCATGATGAAATAGTGTTGGTCTGGAATACCTTGCCTTTCTGGAAAACTTCAAACCTTTTTTCCTCAGAGGTTTCACAACACATCCCCTTTCATCAAGCCATAGCTTTCTATTTTATGGGTTGACTTTGATGCCCCAGTTCCATACAGTACATAAAGCCTCCTTTGTTCTTCAAATATTTTGTACCCCACTGTTGCCTTTTTACGTAGGCAGAAAAGATACCCCTTAATCCTGACTCCCCACAGTTGTTTTTAAATTCGTGTGTGTGTGTGTAAGAATTGTGTGAAGAGAGGATGGATTTGAGCCTTGTTGTCGCCTCCTTTTCTCATGTTGCCCCTCCATCTCCTCAGGTATTTGAGATCGTAGAGCGAGTGGAGGAGTTGCGCAAGAAGTGGCCAGTGGCCTGGGGCAAGCTGGACGACGGCAGCATTGGAGTAGTGTCACCATACGCTGACCAAGTATTCCGCATTCGCGCTGAGCTCCGAAAGAAGAGAATGCATGAGGTCAGCGTGGAGAGAGTGCTCAATGTCCAAGGTGAGAAAGAAATATTAACCAACATGCTAATGCTATATATCAGTAATAAGAAATAAAAAAAGTTACTGGCCCAAACACTGAAACTAGTACTATATTAATGTACTTTAATCTTGTAAAATTGCCTTGTTGGTATCCAGCAAACACAATTGACAAAACATTCAAGGCTTTAGTATTTTAATTTGATTGTGTTTGTCATAATTATTAAAAGAATGAGAAATTGAAAAGTGGAAGAAAGTGGCTTTGGTCAGGCAATCAAAAACACTAGAATATGAATCCCCAAGTGCCTCAGTAATAATTCTCCATAAAGTTTGTCACACATTTCGTCAAAGTGATGCTTAAAGTGAGAGCCACATTACCCTAAAGACAAATCCCTACTATGTTCCACTGTAGTTATCAGTGTTCATATTGCCCTTCATATCATCTAGTCCCAATATAAGGAGAATATGTGGAAGGGTTTCTTCCTTCGATCTCTCCTCTGCTTCAGTCTTACGCAGTTCCCACTTGTATTGCATCCAGCTGCTTTCCACAGGTCATTAACTTCCTCATTAATCACACATGAAACGTGTGAACGCACACACAAGAAAATGTGCTCAGAATTTGAATTTAACACATACGTAAATGTTTGTGTTATATCGACATCCTCTGAAGTCATAAGAAGATTAAATTATTATTGGACCGATTCAATTCTATTTAGTAGGATGTGGTGAACACAATTAGCTTAACAAAATAGCATGGACATGGTTTCAGTTTCCACTGATATCAAATGTCATGGTAGCTAACGGAGAAAATAAGTTCATCCCAGAGTTTAGTTTGCATTCTTTGCAATTGTGTTGTTTCTTTGTTTGCAGGTAAACAGTTCCGGGTGCTGTTCCTCAGCACCGTTCGGACGCGGCATACCTGCAAGCACAAGCAGACGGCCATCAAACGTAAAGAGCAGCTAGTTGAGGACTCAACAGAGGACCTTGACTATGGATTCCTCTCCAACTACAAGCTACTCAATACGGCCATCACCAGAGCCCAGTCCCTGGTTGCAGTTGTGGGAGACCCCATAGCACTGTGCTCTGTCGGGCGCTGCAGGTAAATACTGGCACTTCTGACATAATGTTGTTTAATAGCAGATCTTTGTGTAAAGTGATAGTTCTGTTGTAGTAAGTCACTATTCTTGTAATGTGATGAATCTATAGGTTCAAAAGGAACACCCAACTTCACTAATGACCTTATTAATTTGTACTTGTTTTGTTTCATGTGTTACAACCATATGTAGGCTCTAGCTCTAATTGTCTTACCCTTTTAGTGTGCTTCATCTTTTTACTGATTTTCATTTTTCCTCATTTCCCCTCTCCTCCTTTTTGTTTTAGACTTGATCTTTTCTGTTCAGCCCACGACTTATGCAATTTATTATGCAGCTAGCAGGGAAAAAATCAACAAGATGATCCATGAAACACTCCTTCCAAACAAGGAGAGATAAAGTAGAATATAAGTTAAATTTCTCTGTTGTTTCCTGTCTTTGCCCTTTCCAGAAAATTCTGGGAGCACTTTGTCTCCATCTGCCACGAGAACTCGAGCCTACATGGCATCACCTTTGAGCAGATCAAGGCTCAGCTGGAGGCCCTAGAGCTGAAGAAGACCTACGTCCTGAACCCATTGGCCCCAGAGTTCATCCCTCGTGCTCTCAGACCCATGCAAGGGCACCACTCTTCTTCACAGGCCCTCCATCCCCACCATCATCCACATCCCCAACACGCACAGCCCGCCTCCAACAAGCAGGGTCCGCAGCAGCAACAGCAACAGCAGCTGTCACCCCCTAAAGTAAGGTGTTTCTAACAATGGAGGACACTGTGGCATTTTCAGTATGGGCATTTACAATCCTGACATTAAACTGTAGAAATTAGAAGGGAAAAATCAAATAAGATGTAAGAAAGGCTGATCTAAATAGATTCTGTCAAACTGAACATATTGGGAGGCAGACATGAAAGAAAAAGTGATGAGGTAGAGGATGTTTTGAAAAGCTTAAATGTGTAGGGTTTTCTGTGTTAATTTATATGCTAGGTAACCACATATTTGTTTCTAGAAATAGTAAACAAACAGGGTGTCCGCGGGGTCTTAGAAAGTCTTAAAAAGGTAATAAATCAATTTTGCGAAAATTATGGCCATTAAAAGTTATTAAACAAGGTGTTTAAATGTTGAAGATATTTTTGTGAAAATCCTGTTTGTCCAAAAGTTTGTTTGCTAAAAGTGCAGGTAAACATATGTATTTATAATACGTAGCCAAAATACTAGACAGGCAGTGAGTAGCGACTGTGATTCGTTTCTATAACGTTAGGCGCGGGGATCTACCGAGCGCCTATTTCACTCTGAAAGGCTCCAAAAAATTGATCCGTGCGAACCGGAAAATGATTTACGAGTACAACTGACGGTAATCTCCCACCCCGCCGGACCCTCAATCGTCCAAAACATAGTCGGAGTGGCGATCAGGAGTAACGGAATTAACCTGTTTGGCCAGTCGCTCTGTGGCCACTTGAACAGCCCCGTTCCTCAAAAACAAGAACAAGATGCGCTGCAAGAAGCTGAATCGGTAAGACAGAAGACAACAGGGAAAATTCAACGTTAGCCGGCTTTTGAGCTAAATCTCTGCCTTTTATTGAAACACGAAAAACAACCCCAAACTGAAACAGCTGTAATTTGAATTAATATTATACTAGTGGTAAGTTATATACTATTATATGAAATTATATTGAACATAATAAATATATTAATATCAAACTTACAGTTTACTATTAAGTTAACATTGTACTTTTAACTCAATTTTATACTAATACAGTCATTTAGACCCATTCCTCCTCCAGGTTGTGCCTGTGCTACACCGCCTACACTACTTACGTTATTCATCACTCAGTTTATTCTCTTCATCTTTGTTCCCTCCTGGCCTATTTGAATTTTGTTGTATTGATCAAGTGGTCGATGAAAGTTATCGCACATATCATTGCAGGCAAGCTCACATTATCTAGTTTAAACCAATTAAAACACAAAATTACACTGTGTTTCACATGATTTGCTGTAATGTTGCGTACATAAACATCATAGCCTATGTAAGACAGTTGCTTTTTGCAGGAAATCTGACCAGTCCTTCACATAGAGAACAATAGGCCTATACTATTTAAAAACTCAAAAATATCCCTTTTAAAGGTGTTTGGCTGATTTAATCGGTTACAGCTGAAAGTGGCATGGCAGTCTTGAAATATGTTGAAAAGGTCTTGAAAATGTCTTAAAAAGGTATTGAATTTTACTTCAGGATTCCTGTATATACCCTGACAAATGATCAGGAATAAATTGAGTGCTTCTTGTTAACAGAAAGGAAAAATGATAAAAGCTTTGCACATGTGGGCATAAACCAAATACCTATTAAAACAACTCCATTTAATCTTCACCACAGGAAATTACTTTATGGGTATTCATTTAAGCCCCATAAAAACAAAACAAAACACAGATAGGAAATTAGCCTCACAGGTTTGGCAGAAGGATCTGGTGTTTGATTGTTTAGTACGGGTTGAAATGTGTTTGTGTGTCTTGTCTGTCCTCCCTGCCTGCACTGAGCTAAAGGTTAACGAAATCACCACAGCTGCCAACCTGCTGCCATCACCCACTGGGCCTAATGAGCTGCACCTCCGCGGCATCAACTGGCTTTGGAGACACAGTTCCTCTCTCAGTCTCCACAGGCATACTATGTAGCTCACAACCACGCAGCGCACACAGACACGGTGCTAACAGTAATACATGTAATATATAATCGAATAAATTGTTCCCTTCAGCAGACACCACATGTTGCTGTATATGGATGATGCACTGACTGTGATATACAGTAATGCATAAAAATGCTATTTAATAATACATTAATTCCTAAAATTCTCACCTGATAAAACCTGCATTGTTCACAAAATAATTGGTTAATAAATCAATTTGTAGAAAGGTTCCACTTTTAAATAAAAATCCAATGAGTCAATGTGATAAACAATCAAAACATGAATATGTGCAAGGGCAGAGAAGACCACATACAATTTGTAGTTGCAGTTACTTAAAACATATTCATTTAAGTACAAAGCATGCAGCATGTTCATTGTTGGCCATTGATTTTACCAGTAATATATGCTTCAGTTGACTTCACATAGTGTTGTTTTCTGACACAGATGGTGTTTTGGTGCAAGTATGCAAGACTGTGACACTTGTGGTAAAATATGTCTCATATTAAAAATCTTTTGGTTTCAGCTCTAGCGTTGTAGCACAGTTATTGTCATTTATTTGGGGATAGAGGAGTTACAAGTGCCACTTCTATTCTTAATGCATCATTTGTAAATCAGAACGGATACTTATCAGGTATCAGAAACAACTGAAAGTTTTTATATTAAGTCTGACTTGTCTGACTTCCTCTTAGCACATATTCTTAGTTGTTTCATGCAGATAACCTGGAGTTATTTTGTCCTTTTACCCTTTGTTTCTCTTTTAGTTTAGCTGTGAAAACTGTATACAACATGACAAGAAACCAAGGGCCCTAAATGACAGCCACTATACAGTCATCTATCATGCAATTAACAGTGCTTTTCAGTGGATCCTTGCTGTTTGATCATATGAGATAAGTGTTCAGCAACATCCTAGTTGGTCTTCGCCTCTATTCACTACATGTTGCACAGTTGCAACTTTGGTGTCATTTCTTACAAAATCATTGCATTATGCAGAAAATTACTTTTATATTAAGCTGTTTTATATTTGGCTGGTATGTAATGCCAATATTAAAGGTGCTGTATTCATTTACATGTGGAACTAAAATATTTATATCTGCATCTCATATGTGGTTGTTTATGACTTTGTAGTTTGGCTGTTCATCAGCTCAAGCTGGATGCAGCCTCACAAGTAAAACCATATTGGGCTTGGGCTTTGTAGGAGGTTTGCAAAATACCAAGAAAATGTTACAGCTTTGCTACAGTAAGTAGTAGTAGCAATAGTATAGTAAAATTGTTTTCCATGCTTTGTTCAAAATTTTCTAGTGTCAAAGACTGCAGTAAACGTAGTAACATAATTCATGAAAAAACAAGTTTAGTTTATGGACTAATATGTGTAATATAATCATAATTCAATGGAATTACTGTTTTCCTGCCAATATGACTAGTGCTCCTTACCTGAAAGGTAAATAATACCAGCTTTATATAATATCAGCATAGCAACATAGTGGATTACATTTAACGGAGAATGTCCTTCAAGGAAGCATAGCTGCTGTCAAAGACTTTTTACACTACAGTCACCTGGGAGAGACTGCGTGCTACAAAAACCAGCCACTAAAAAAGCTCAAAGTAGATTGTAGTGTATGCTTGCCTGTAGTGATTAATAATACACCACACCACCTAAACTTCAGTATGGGGAGATCTTGTGAGCCGTGTGTGTGTCTGTCTGTGTTTGTGCACACATACATGTTTGAGCTGCATTTGCACACACTCACCCCCGTGAGTGCATACATTCATACATGTGTGTCAACATTGATCAGAATTCAGTTCAGAATCTCTGTACACATATGGTGGATGGAACTGTATTGTGAAGTCCCCTGGAGAAAGAGTATGCTGAAAATTGATTAGAGGGGGAGTTCAGTTGTTATCATGTAGAAGAAGAAATTATAGATCTTTCTCGATAACCATGTTGACTTGTTTTAAAATGAAAAACAAAGATACAGTTGCAAATCCAGAATAAAGAAACAATACTGGCAATGTTTGTTATTAAGGAATATGTCTCCCAATGCTGTGGCATGGCTCTTGCATGTTTTTAATAGATTTTGGACAACAATGGGGTTCTCTAGAACACAGGCATACTGTAAGCTTATCAGGCAGTGGCTGTTGATGGCATAAATCTCTTTAGGAGATTTATTGATAAAATGTTTAATTATGACTCTTTCATTTAAGTGCTTTGTTAATGGTATTAAATACATATGTGGTTTAATAAGTGAAACAATTAATAATTATTAACCTGTCTATACTATAGTATGTGTCAACATGTGTATTTGTGAGAAAGTTGTGGACATAATTACAACACCAGGGAAGCCATACTTTAATGTAACTATAGGACAGTAAAGAGATCATATGAGATTGCATTACAGGGAACACACATTGTATCTCAGTCCCTATTTTTACACAATATTTGGGGAAAAGGCCGATTTGACCAGTCAGATTCTTGGCTAAATCTTCTTTCTCTCTGAAGTCCCATGGCTAACTTTATTAGGGGACAGTGAAACCATTTCTGATATTCAGATCAGTTCAATGCAACATTGACACTAGAATCCTTAAAAGCAGAAAATGTTGCATGTTGGGGAAGGCTGTCTATTATATATTCAAATCTGCCATTATAAAACTTGAAAAAATAAGCCAAATGTGATGTTACTAAATTTCTTCAGAACTTTCTAATGATTCTTTTGTCTTACAGGGGAAACATGCAAACCACACAGAGCACCTTCCACCTGACGGATATGGTGAGTTTATCCCACTGCACATGTTTAGCCCAGTTGATTATCTACATATTAAAGGGTACCATGTTATGAAGAAAAATTCCTTTACTGTGCTGTTACCTTGTGTTCCTGGTCTTTCTGTTGTTGTTCGGCAAATGTCAAAAGCGCAATTTATTTTTATGCCTGAATTCCAGACTTTTACTCTAACTTTAATATTTTTGTAAGTAACTCATCCTGCAGGCATCTGCAGAAGTAGAAAATTACAATCTTCTTGTTCAGGCATTGTTTAGAAACTTTAAAATAAAATTCTGAATACCTAATTTCTCTTTACAGTATAGGTAAGGGAAATAAATCAAACCCATGTAAATGTGACAGTTAACCTAGAAAGGAATATAATACTAAGGTATAATCTACCATTGATCAACTCTGCATCAAGAAGTCCGTGTCCTTGTAGAAGTATTCTAACAGCTGACATTGACTGAGATATGACAATGACAACATTTACACATATTAGCATGTAGAATTTCTGTCCTCATCACTATATGTTTTGTATATTATGGTCAGGTTTTATAACACAGCAACAGTAGAAGAGTTTCCTTAGTTTGTTCTTATTCTGTTTCCCTATACACAAACAAGCACAGATCTCAACAGCTTGAAATGAGCAAGTCTAATGGAGCAGCCCAGATGGATGCATGAAGGCCTGAGGCTATTGAAGCCATCAGAGCAATGCAGCCAACACAGCAATGCTGTTAATATGATGCTCACTAGGGAAAGATAATCAGGTTGTTTCAGCCGCTACAAGTGCAAATTGTCAGCCTGCTACATTAGCCTAAACGGGGGGAAAAAAACCTTTCTGCCCCCCATGTCAGTATTGATGCAGATTGGTCATCAGCTATTTATATTTTGTACTTCTCTCATAGAATTATGCTGTATTACATTTTATACAATTTTACAAACTATGAATAATTAGATATATATTGACTGCCATCAATTTTTAATCATATTAAGGTCAAGAACTATATTAATTTGCTCATATAACCTTGCCACCTTCTCTCATCATAGTCCAACCCAACCCAGCCGTATTGATGGGAAACCCTATTCGGGCATTCACGCCACCCTTGGGTGGCACACCAGCTGGGATGGGCAAGTCACCAAGTCCTGTTCAGAGGATAGATCCCCATACGGGCGCCAGCATCCTCTACGTTCCAGCCGTGTATGGTGGAAACATGGTCATGTCCATGCCCCTGCCAGTAAGTCTTTTGCCTCTTATAACAAATGCCAAAGTCATATATTTTGACAAATACTAGAAGAGAAAAATGTGATAATTGTATCTGTAATTGATTGCACCTATGAGAATATGTGTGGGGTTTTTTTTCTCATACAAAGTTACCAGCCCAGGTTAATTAACATCAGATCAAGCAATTACTGCATTTGCTTCAGATTGTTATTACTGGTTGATGTACTGTCCTATCATCTGTGGGAATGAAAGCCTACATTTGCCAGCTAGTGTCTTGTCCTGTATTAGACTGGTGGTTTATTGTAGTGTACACAATAATATCTATTTTCTGTTTGCTGTCATATAACATAAATATTTGTATAGCTCCTCTTCTGCCTGGAGGAGCATACTATAGATTAGTGCGCTGTTATTATGTAGCTCACTTCTGTGTAACATGTATGTTGCTTGTGTGTAGAATCCCTTTTATAAACAGTGAAGCTCCACATGGTTTCTAGTACAAATAAAAGAACATAACCTTGTATAGGTATTACCACTCAGCCAGTAATGCCACACTTCATACTCCCTAGATTGTTTGTGCACATGCGATCATCGTTGAAATGAAAGGACTAATACTTTGTATTTGGTTTTCATTTGTTGTACTGTTTATAATCAACATTATCATTATATGATGTCCATAATCCACAGTATGTGTTTACCTCTCTATCCTCTGTCAGGGTGTAGATCAATAATCTGTCAATCTGCGTGTTAATTTTCCCAAGTTGCCTTGGACAAGTTACCAGAATCGCTTTGCTGTTGACCCTCGCATCATGAGCCACCCGGCAGCCATGGCCTACAACTTCAATCTGTTGCAGGCCCAGAATCGAGGCTCCCCCATCCCTTACAGTGGGGTGACCCACCCATCTCCTCTAGGAATGGGCCAGCCCAGCCCTGACAAGGAGCTACAGGCTGACCCCATCAGAAATGGTGTGCTTAGATTTTAAGTACCACATCAAGCAACCACCCAAAATCACATATTAAAGCATATAGAGTAAGAAGTAACTGGATAGAATAGCCAAGCATATGGTGATAAGTTTGTTTTTTTGGTTTTGACTTCTTAGGTAAATTAGAGGGATGTCCAAAGTCCGAACAGAGCCGTCTTCAGACACCAGAAAGGAAAACTGCAGACATGAAGGAAAAACAGGCAAGTTGTTGACATTTGTGTTTTATTTTTTAACTATAAGTAACTTGTCGATTCTATGTAGACCCACATTACCGAACTTGGTAAGTCTTTTCTTATGGTGTTTGGATTGGTGTTTACTTTTTGGTCCAGGGAGAGTTGGACACAGGCCAAAGTCGAAGTCTAGACTCACAGTCAGACGGGCTAGTTGGATTTCCCAATGCGCTGCTCCATCGAAAAGATCCCTCAGCTGCTCAAAGATCCCTCAACTACCACCTGGCACCACCCAACCCAGCTTTTCCTCCACATCCGGCCAGTGGTAGAGCCTTCCCCCCACAGTACCCGGTCTCGAGGCTTCCTTATCGGGTCAGCCAGCCTCAACACCCTGGGATGGCCCAACAGAGTCAGCAGCAGCAGCCACAGCTCAGCCCTGCCTACGCTGGTGGTAGCCACAACGCCTCCTTCTTCAGTGGCCCCATACCCCCTCACAGGGCTGTCCAGTCTCCCACTTTGGATGGGCCAGAGTCTGGAGGGGTGGAGGAGATGAGTAGTTCCATTAGGACTCCAATGGGCCACCCAGGGGGCCACCACCCAGGCCTGTCGCAGCATAACAGGGTCAACAGCTTTGGGGAAGATGGACAAGATGGAAGCCTGGGAGATGGTCTGGGTAAGTGGAGCATCATATTGTTTTCCTTTGTTAGGCAAATGGAAATTGGCCAACCATCCTAAAAACTAGAATGTGAAATGGGGATGTGTTTGGTATTTGTATTTATATTATTTAATTTAATCAAGTGTTATTACTTTATGTTGTGTTAGGAAGTTATACCAAAGAAAACCAAAAATAAATGAGATGCGGACAGTCTCATGTTGGTTGTTACAACTAGCCTTTTCTAGACATGCTAATTGCTGAAAAGTCTAGACTTGCACAAATAATCTGTCCTATTTTGCAAGATCCTTTGTTTAGATGTAGCTGCCTTTGCCCAGTCTTAAAAGTTAGGCCAGATGCATTGTCACTTTCACGCTCACCAATGTCATCACTTGGTATATGGTCTATGGGAATAAAGCTAGTGTCATTTATTACACTGCTCAAGCATGTTTTCTTCCTCAGTGAAATAATTAGGATGTTAGTAGATTGGATAGCACTAGCACATTACAACAACTTCAAAGGCAAAACTGCCTTTTTGTTTTTATGTTAAAGCCCCCCTCCAACAAGTTTTAACTTCCGTTTTTGGTTAACGTTCTTTCTCAAACAGAGAATGGGGGTGTGGTTAATAGTCGGACGTAATACATTACCATGACAACCAAAAACTGACCGGCTGGAGTGTTACTAACAATATGCTGTGTTAACATCACTACACTGTAAAGTTTAGTACACTTTACTGTTTGGCAGGAGTAGCTATTACTTACCCATGATAGAAACTAATGTGCGCGTATCAGCTGTTATCTATCATACAGTCGATGGTCCTGTGAAGCACTGCACATGATAACTCCCACTACGTTTTATGGTGCGCTTACTATACCGCGGGGGTGTGGGGGGTGCCTCCACCGATGCATTGGTAAAATGCATGTTGCAGATTATATATAAGACAGTGGCAGGTTAAAGTGCGACACGTTTTGTCATCTGTCCTCCAACACCGCACGCACAAATGCTGTAATGAAAATGAACAGCACACTAAACCAAGAGGATGAAACTAAAAAATAAAATGAAGTTGTTGTTGCTGTTAGCTAACTTTCTGCAATAGCTACTAGTTAACTACACTTGGCTAACTAGAACTTAGTTAACTTAGCTAACGTTAACTAAACTAGAATGACAAACCAACAATCAGACACAGAGAGACATACTTACTGTAAGTTCTAAGTAAATTACATGATAAATTGGTTAGCTAGCTCACAACGATGTTTATCGTTTGATGCTCTGACCTAACGAGGCGTGAAGGCATGACAATATTTTAACGAGGCATGACAGTGTGCCTGCGCAAGCTTGGAGAATAACGTATGACTTATGGAATTACTATAGTCATACATCACCACACCGTTTTAACAACTAAGCAACTCTGAGCACAAAATTAAGCCATTTGTAAAAAAAAATATTTGGCAAACTTTGTGGGTAAACAACATTGTAATGAAATGACTCAGAAAAATATGAAATATCATAGAAAAGTCAAACTACACACTGGAGGGTGGCTTTAATTATCTCAGAATAGGAGTGATGTTCTTCATAATATACATTTGTAAATAAATGCTGGTTAGCTGAAACTGAATTGACATTGACAAAGATGCACGTAAATATGCCTATAGGCTTGCAAGGGATCCAATGAGCATATCTCTTAAATCTTAAATATATATTTTTTGTGAAACAGGTCCTGATTGGCTGAGCATATATATGGTAGCATTAAGGCCAACAGAAACACATAACACTGAACTAAAACAAAAACTAAACCATATAAGCACGCATGTTTCTCTAACAGATTGCCTAACAGAAGAGGTTTCATTTAGCACACATCAGTGTCACATAATTATAAGTTGATGCAAGCTTTAGATGTCAATTTTTGGAAAGACATGTAAACTTTGCATTGCTTATGATGGCACAGAATCAAATGCTTTTCAATCAATACAGTTACATAAAATTCTTTGGCACCTTTCCTCAATTAAAACTAGGGATGCACAATAATGTCGACAGATTCAGCATGTCATTAGTATCGGCTGATAAAGGCTTTAACGAACATTTCTGTTGATATGGCAGGTCAGCAAGATGATGCCTTACTTACACGACGCATGTATGTCTGCGGTGTGGAGTTTTTCTTTTGAAGTATCCGAAACTGATAGCAGAGTTGCTATTTGCAGTGATAGCTCAGTGGCACTCAGTCACACGAGGCCCCAAATCATTCTTTCAAACTACAAATTGAATTGCCCATCTTAAGAGCCGTCATCCCGATCATTACTATGAATTTGTGAAGAACAAAGAGAAACAGGCACCAGCATGTTGAAAAGCAGTGTATTTTCTGTTTGTATCTGCTTGTGGGCCATCACGATAAGAGTAGACAAAATAATTTCTAAATTCCACTTCAAGAGAGACTTGATGTTAAGTCTTACTGAGTTAGAGAATAATATTGTGCATACCTAATTGAAACATTTACTAGATATTTATTAATAGAAAATCCGTAATAAATACTAAATTTAACAGTGTACAGGGTCTTAACCTGCAACACCAGTCACTCTAAAACTAATCATTTTGTTTGCCATTTCAGATATCCAGGGTCCCTTGGCTCTAGAGGCCCTGAGCCAGCAGCAGCAGCAGGCAGCCAGGCTGGGCCAGTGGGGGGAGGCAGCAGGCCCTTTTCTCCAGGGAAGCGTTGCTTTCCCTCTGCCCCAACAGCTCGCCCACCTTGCTCAGCCCGGCATGGCTCGCTTCCCCCATCAGCTGCTCCGGGCAACTAGTTGGGGCCTTAGTGCCAATATGGAGGATGAAGCTGTTACTTCTGCTCCCCCTGGGCCAACTTTCACCAGGTTAGATGGAGCACCAGTTTGTATTATTTGTCATGTTTAATAGTCTTGTAACATGATACTAAATACATTGACAATGTTGTGTACAATTTACGTATGTAGATCTACATAAAATAAGATAACTGCTTGAAATTGAACTTGACCGTGACTGTTGCTGTATGTTGTTTTGGTTGGTTGCCCCCTTTGACCCTGATTATTGTCCTTCCCAAATAGTTTTTTTCCTTGCTGCTAGTTACAAACATGATACCGAGTTTAAATGCAAACAAATCAAAAAACATTTTCTTTTCCCAGGTACCCGGGCCTCTTGAGAGAGATGCCCCCACAGGAACAGCCTGAACCCAGGGAAGCAGCTGAGATGCAACCCCCTCCTCAATCTCGTCTCCTCCAGTACCGCCAGTCCCAGTCCCGTGCCTCTGGTGACCCTTCATCCTCTTTAGCTCTCCCCAATCACGCTGGCCCATTCCCATCAGGACCCTACTCCCATGACACCGGCCGCGATCTCCTTAATGACAACCTTCTCAACAACCCAGCTCTACAGCAGCAGCAGCACCCAGGAAACCCACTGTATAATACTGGTGGCTACCCACATCAGCCACAATCCCATTCTGCCAGCCCCCCTCCCTCCCAGGTGAAATACCTTCTGCAAGAGGCCCAGTGGTCTCATGCTGGAGCTGCATCGGTGAGCCCACCACAGCAGAACCACCTGCTAGGCAACCAGGGCCACGGCCTTCCTTATGGACTGCCAATCATGGCTCACCCCAGCAGGCAAGAGCAAGTCCACCTGATGCAACTTCACCATCAGCACCAGCAGCAGCAGCAGCAGCAACAGCAGCAGCAGCAGCAGCAACAACAACAGCAGCAGCAACACCACCAACAAAGTCAAGGTCCAGACCAGGAGTCCTACCACCCTCTGTCGCCCAGAACATCAGCAGCCACAGCCCTTCACAATGTAGATGAGGTAAGGGTTATTAATTTATTTGGATTATTATCTGTGATTTAATACATTAATGTACTCCTTTTGTTTACTGTAAGATAAGCAGGTGATTGCTTGGCTCAGTCTCATCTCAGGCCTGTCTTTATTAGTGGCTAGTTAGTAAGATCTGATAAATTCTGTGGTGCTCTGTGCACAACAGTTTGTAAAAGTATAAAACTCTTATTTGCTTGCTCCATATTTGCTTTTACGCCATAACTGAGTCAGTAAGTGCAGTGAAAAGGTGACTACTGCTTCTTCAGGTCTCATTGCGCACCATATGATTTGACTTAATATCTCATTCTCACCTTTTTCTCTTCCTTATCCGTCTTTGCTGTCTGTACAGTATGAACCCAGAGGTCCAGGCCGGCCCCTCTATCAGCGGCGCATTTCCTCCAGCTACCCAGATGAATCGTCTACAGCCAACACCCACAATGCCCTGTCCCAGCAGTCCCAGCCCTGTCCGTCAGACCCCCAGGACCACCCTCATCCGCACATACAGCATCATCAGCACCCACACGCCCCCTACGGTTACCCCTCTGGCCATGACCTCTGGCCCAGTAATGGCGGGGGACCCGGTCCGTTCCAGAACATTCCATGTAACGGAGCCGGCACACTCGCACAGCACCGGGACCTTCTGGGTAGGTATCACCATGTACACTGTCATCAGGCTGGGCATTATGTTCTTTTACTCAGAGCTGTGTAACTTACCTCTTCTATCTTTCCTCTACTTGTCCACGTGTCTTCCCCCCTCGGTCCGGCAGCTTCCAAGGCCCTTCGTCAGACAGAGGAGCAGGGGAAGGCAGAGGCACCAGCAGCGCAGCAGACACACCCACACTCACTCAACTCCCTTCAGCACCTTGGACAGTTTCCTCCGCTCATGCCCAATAACAAGCAGCAGCAGCAGCAGCAGCAGCAACAGCAGCAGCAGCAGCAGCAGCAGCAACAGCAGCAGCAGCAGCAGCAGCCGCCGCCGCCGCCACCACCACAGGCACCCACAGAGGCCAGCCAGGGCGCTCCAAATTTAAGCAAACCACCCACCATGTCCTATGCCAGTGCCCTCCGCGCTCCACCCAAACCCCGAGCTGTTCGCCCTGAACAAGTCAAAAAGAACAGCGACCCTCTCTCCCTCCTACAAGAGCTGAGTATAGGAAGTTCAAATGGTAGCAATGGGTACTATTCCTACTTTAAATGAGTCCCCTGTCCCACATAAAAAATAAGTGATAAAAAAAAAAATAAAATAAAAAAAAGTGCAAAACTGTTTCTAAAAACACACAAAAAATAGTGCAAAGTGCATTTACAATAGTTCTATCAGTAGGTTTGTTTTCTGCATTTTGTTTCATTTTAACTTTTTATTTGTAACAGTCATCTTTTCTCCTGTTTCACATATCTGTGAAGAAAATAAGTATATATAATGAATGCATTACTGGTATATATACATAATCATTATGTATATATGAATATATACTTATATTATCTACACTTGTATATGTACGTAATGCTAAAAAAGTTTAAAAAAAATAATAAAAAAGGTGAAATTCGGTTGACCACTTAGCTACCTGCATATTTTCCTTATTGAAGTTAGTTTTGTTGGTTACGAAGTATGTTGAAGTTTTTATCATTTTGTATTCCTCAGTTTTGAGTGGACGTTATGTCTTGATTTTCATACTACTGTAGTTGTGGTAACAGACAAAAAGCTAAGTGGTCAACTGACTCAGAAACTACATGGAACAGTGTATAGAAGTAGATAAATTTTCCTCTAATCTGTACATATAAAGAAAATAAAAGACTGAATTGTATGCCACAGATATGTCCTTAAATTCCTGTATCATGCTAGCATTTGCATTATGAATTATTTTCTGTTTGTTGGCTTCTGATCCTTAATTCTTAGACATCCTTACCTGGGAGTCATCTTCAGTGTTTTAGTAGTAAATGTGATTATTTACTGAAAAATAACAATACAAATAGTAATTGTGCATCTTACTTTTCAATAATGTCTCATCAGCAACAATAGACCGTGTGAACATTTCAAAGTATCAATAACCATGTCATTCCTCCTTTGTTTGTTTTAAGGATCAGAGAACACCAGACATAGCTTTCTGTGATTATAAGATTATCCCAAACACTGCTTGGCTTGTGGCCGATGCTCAGTATTTAATTTTATTTAGATTTCTTTCCTTTGTGTCAAGGAAATCTTCACCGGGGAAATTGTTTCAGTAACTACTGGGGATATGAAATGTGTTTATTTCTGGTTGTTTTCTATCACTAATGGACATTGAGCCTCTTATTTTTATTTTTTTAAAAGGTTGCAGTACTCTGAAGGTTTGTGAAAGTGAAGATAGAGTGGTGAGGTCAGAGTGGTGTGTCATGATAGGTAAGTTGAAACTGAGGGTGTGATCAACACTGCCGGTCAGACGTTTTTGAACATTCTAAGTGTCAGCATTTTTGGTTAAATCTGAAGAATGTTGAAACTAGATTTATAGTTAATATGCTGAATGCACATTGTGTCTTCTTGTTTTATTGGAAATAATCTTATTGGATCTTGGCAAACAGCATACTGTGTATTATTCGGATCATTCATGGCGTATATGTCTTCAACACACTGTTGCTCTCGCGGATGTTTTGTAGTCACAGAGTTTCTAGATTCCTTTTCATAGTGTAAACCAGACTGCCAAAAGATCCTTTTCCATTTTCTCTGTAAAACAATCTTTTAATCTCCAAGTCATATGAACCCTATAATAAACAGTAATTGCTTAACTCTCTTGTAAGCTATTTGCTCCCAGTTCCACCTAAACAAAAACGTATTTCCCTATCCCTAATAATAATTTATAATAGGCATGTAAGGTAACAGGCCCCCCAACCCCTTTTAACACTCTGCTTAAGATTTAACCAAAAAACGAACGTAGTAAAAGTAACTATATGATAAGATGTTCAAAGACGTATGACTGTTAATGTGTCTCTTTTTAGACTGTGCATAATAAGAATGAATTGGTAATGTCATGGAAGTTGTTCCTGGTTCCTTTTTTAGTCCCCCTAATTCCCTTTTAATTAAATTTTTTTTCTTAAAACACATGATGAACATAAGACAGGAGCGCTCATGTTTGAATTCCAGTGAGCTAGTTGCTTGTTAATGGTTGACACACAAGGAGGCCACACAGCCACATGAATTTCACTGCTAATTTACTGATGCCCTGATGATTTAAGTCCCTTGCAGGCAAAATATAAAAAGATGCTGAGACACTATATCTGCCAAGGTTTTTCTTTTTATGATAAAAGAAATACTGGAAACAGTCATCCAGTGCTCTGTCCAGTGATATGTAATCCCTTAATTGTTTAAATACCACTGCCCCATCTGAAAAACAGTGAAATTGTAATAAAATCACCCCACTCTTTCATGGCTTTCATACAGCAGTTAGTCACTGTTAAATCTCTTAAAATGTCACTTCCTCAGAAAGCTAATACCCCACGGCTAATAACTTAGATGTGTTTTGAACAGTCAGCAGAGAGCTTCATAAAGCCATGTTAAATTTTTGTTCCGTTTTTCAGTTTAAATCAAAGGTCCAGATTTTTTGACTTGGCAGAGAACAACACATACTTGTAAATATGCATTTTCTAGGTATTTACAAACACGAACTTTGGGAGCACCTCAATTTTGTAGAAGCTGTTCAAAGAAGAGGTATGCCCTTTTTAATTATGCAAATTCAAACAAAAAAAGGATGGTAATTCTAGAAATGGACAACAACAGACCAGTTGGCAGTTGCAACATCTTGTTGTAACTTTTTAGATTTTTTTTTTAAAGATGGTGTCTGGCTGATTTGACAAAGAGGAGAATTTATGTTGCAGCTGTTTCAAGACAACTTATTTCACTGTAAAATACATCATTTAAATATATGTTCCTGTTCGGTTTTCTCACCACTTCACAGCTGTACAACAATCAACATGAATTATTTTTATTTTATAATTTTTTTTAATGTGAAGACTTTTCTTTTCATGCATGTTGAGATGACCTGGCTGATTTTTAATCCCTGTTTTTATCAGTTTGTGTTGATTTGTGGATTTAAAAAAAAGAGGAAAAAAGCTTTTGTTTAACCTACAAAGTCAAATTTTGGTATATTATTTGATGTGTACAATAACTTGTGACATTATCAACAAAAATATTATAATATTTTACTAACGTCAATCAAATATGTAATGGTCATGTAAGTTCTTTTTTTGCAGTTACTTAGCAAGGCTAAAGCTGAGGTTGCTCCCTTCTGTGTGTCATATATACGAACCTTCAGTTTGTTTGGGGAATCATTTTTCCATAAAGCGGTCGTTGGCTAATCTCTGAAGTTGTGCAATACTAATATTTCACCGCTTCTTAAACTACACTTTTATTTATTTTTGAGGCAGAAGAGATTGAGCCAAAGACATCTTAAAGGGAATTTATTTACAAATCTTCATCATTGCTTTTTATTATTTTATTTTTTAGGCTTAAATTTCTGTCTTGTTGAATCTTTGTTTCCAAAATCAGTTTCTCTATATCTTTGCTATGAAACTAAACTCTTATAATGAAGTTGGATTTGAAATATTTTCACCACCAAATATTGCACCTGTGTGTGTGTGTGTGTGTGTGTGTGTGTGTGTGTGTGTGTGTACACGGAAAGGGAGCAACCTCTTGCCCAGCCTGTAGAGAGCACTGTGTTCAGCCTTCTATAAAACGCCACATCTCTTCCTGTTGTTTGTTTGCTCTCCTCTGTTCTTCCCTCGCTGCAGTGAATCAATGGCACACCTGTTCTCCCAGCTCCCCAGTCCCATTGGTTCCTCCCTCGTGGGTACAAAATAATGAATAGATCTGTTTTACTCTTCTTCATTTCAATTGGTGGTGGTTATAATAAAGGATTTAGACTGTGTTTTAAAGGTTTATTTTCTTTTTTATTTGTTTCTCTATTAAAGTGTTTTTATTGAAACAGCTAGAGTTCTGTCTTTTGTTTCTGTCATCCTCTGCATTACACAGCGCTACTAGAGAGAATCCGTTCTGGCTAGATTTAATATATGAGCCGGGTCACTCTACAGGAATTATTAGGGGCAGGGTTCTGTCATAAAGTGGTACCTAGAGAGTCTGGAGCGTCTGGGTTCCTCAGCTCTTATAATCAGAATGACTACCTTAGTTACACCACAAATTAACACTGGGACAATGAAAAATGCAGTGTAGAGCCTGTTAAAGGGTTCTTTCATGGATGGCCAGGCTTGATTCAAACCCAAAAGCTTCCCACCATCTACCTAGAAAATGGTCTGTGTCAGTAGTGGCTTCTACTAGGAAGAAAACTAAATGTATGACATGGTAGGTCAGTAGTGTTAGTGAGTGTGAATGTGTAGTGTTGTATTAGTTATAAATAAAGATAAAAGCAGAAAACCAGCAGAAGAAAATGTGGTACTGCGGGGAGAGTCAGCCATGGAGTTACAGAGGGAGAAAAGGTTTGGGTGCTGCTGATCCTAAATGCGTTGTCGATGGACAGGTCAGGTGCATAGTTGGACTAATACAGTCTCTGCCTACCAGAATCTGAAGAGAGACACTTCTTTGGTACATGAAAACAAAGGAAAAAACAGTGATTTCAGACAAAAGGTTTCCAAAGCTTATCAAGATTTAATTTTTGTTACAAAGTTGTAGCACATAAGAAACACTCAAAATCTACTGCTTGTTTTTTTATATCACTTGTTAGTTAAATACACAGTATCAGAACAGTAACAGTCAATACAAATGAAAATAAATGCAGTTTTGCCCAGAAAAAGCTCATTAACATGGATGGTTGTTGCTCTCACTAACAGCTGCAGGTCTTGCACAAAAAGTTCGACTATATTAAATGCTAAACCGCTAAATGCACGTGATAGCAGCTATTTCATACAGACGTCATGCCAAGCAAAGTAAAAACATGTCTAGTTCAGAGACTTTCACTGTGTCTCAGAATACCCACAGCTACTGTACAACTTCAAGATCATACATAGGTAACAGCTTTTTGCAAAGGTTTTATTGCAATTTTGATGAAAGTATATATGCACATTCGCCTCTGTCTACCATACCTGAATAACTTGTTTAATAATGATGGAGGTTTGTTTGCAATACCAGTCCACATTTTATCTTCTTCGCTCATTGTTTTTTAATATGAAAACATTTTGTTTTTTAAGATGTAGAGTTCTCAAGGCTGGAAGTGACTGACCAGCATCGTCAGTCCTATACTGTAGACATTAACTGGTGAAATGCGTTCTCAACAGTGTCCTCTTTTCTCTTTGCATTATGTTTGCATGATTCGGCTGGCTATTGACAGTTCATTCTTAAACAAAACAGCATGTTATTTATTTTTTTTAAAGAAAATGACAGCTGAGCTGACACTGAGTCTGCAGCTGTCTGCACACTGGGGTAAAGTGTGGGGTTTTCATGATCTCTGATGCAAAAAAAAACAGTTCGCCGCATGATGACGCATGGAAATGAACAGAGAATTGTTTTGTATCGGTTTGGTTTGTAAGCTGTCAACAAAAAGTAAAAGGCCTTGTATGTGCACCTGCTAGAACTGAACCTTTTCCAGCATGATCAGTGCTGCAGACTCTGTGGGTGTTTAGCATTCAGCCTGCCACACACACACACAAACCTGTTCTGTGCTTTGCTTGAAATCAGTCATTTATTTGCAAGTTCTTATTTTAATGGGACATTATGTAAAGGGTCTTTATAAATCTTAATGTAATGTACAACTTAACATTTGAATACATATACATCTCTTACTTAATCGATATTTCTTGTTTCATTCCTTGAGCGATCCCATACAAAAATCAACAAACATTAGATATGTACAAGATATCATACATAATGCAGTACATAAAATCACATAAAGTCACTTGTTGTAGATGTACATAACTATATGACCTGTATTCTCAAATGCGCATAATGATGACATTTGGGAGACCAAACCAGACCATGGTCACATAACAGTGACGTGTGATAAATCCTTTTTAACATTTCTTTTTTATATGTGCCAGCAGTAAAAGGTTAGAGTTGTAGAGAAAAACTGAAGCATACTAAACGCCTTATAAAATAATTGAAGATGATAGTTGGCCCAGGCTGGCTCTTACTGAGAAGTATAGTGGTTTTTAGGCCTCATGTCAGATTCGAGCTCATGAACATATCTAGGGAAATGTTGGAGAAGACTGCTTTTTTTAACATTCTGGGTGGGTGTACAGGATAAGGTAAACATTTGAAACTCAAAATGGCCCATATTCGAGTTGATGTATAATTGTAGAGAGGTAAATTCTCCATCATCGCTATGGTCCATCCACGCCCAAACCAGTTTCTGGCATCATGAATGCCTTACCCTTTTATGACCAGCTCTTGTTCATGAAATGAATCTAACATATGTTCTTAAAACGAAAGACCCTGTCACTCTCATCCCGTATTCATCGGTCTGCTTAGCTATCACTCTACTTGCTCCGGCTCAGCATCCATGCAAGTCTCCCATGGATTTCTGGGCATCTGGGGCATGGAGAGGATCAGGAGGGCGATGCCAGTGAGAAAGAGGAGGACAAAGCCAGTGCAGGCGCAAGCAAAGGACCAGGCGTAGTAGTATTCGATCCAGATTGTGTCCTCGCTCTCGATCATGCGTTTGACTGACTGACGCATTACCTCCAGTGAGATGAAGGAACAGAGACCTGGGGAAAGGGGAGACATTTGTGAGTTGGGTAGGACAGCTTGTAGTAACACAACTTGCTGTAACTTTTTTTCGGGGGAACTGAACCCACCTGCGAATGCGAAAAACATTCCAGCAGGTTTGAGGAGGTAGTCTCTTCCTTTGCCTTTTCCGGTACATGATCCCATCAAACACAGAGACCCCAGGATTATGAAGGCAAGACTGAAGATGGAGATGGCTGCAGCGGAGATGTTGTACTCTGGGAAGGAAAAGACCAAGAGCGTTCATGATGTCCTTTACAATCCAATGTCATCAAATATTTGAAGCTCCATTACCTTACATTGTATGTTGGGTACGAAATTGACATCATATTATGTAATTTCACATTGTTCACTTTACATACAGTTTGGACTGAAATGAACTTTTAATGGGTGTGTGATTATTTCAGTAAACGCACAAACCTCCCCTTTAGAAATACTTACTAGTTGGGCAAAAAACAAACATAAAGTCTGAATCCACAATTTAATCTTTTCCTCTGATTCATAAATACAAATAAACTCACCTAGTGGTTAGGGCAGCACACAAGACAGGAAGTATGTTTGTTATCCTTATCCATTAGAAATTAGCTGCTTTTGCACATGGAATAATTTCCATTAATGTAAGTTTTTGTAAATGTTCTTAACCTGGCATTGTCAGGTTATGCTTAAAAAATACAGCTTGCTTTATTCTATTTTTTTCTTATTGAAAGCAAACAAACCCATGAAACAACAATTCTAGGAATGCATTAGACCTTGTCTGTTGCACCCTAAGCAGTTTAGTTCTTGCTGAAAATATACATATATATATATATATATATATATATATGCACAGCTCCCTGCGACGATGGATGGATGGATGGATATATATATATATATAGATTTAATGCTCAGTTATTTCCTAAAGTGACTGGGTGGACTGTAGTTTTTTAGAAAACATTACACAAACAGGAGTGCACATTTGGTGCTTTGGTGAGTTTTAACAGCATGTGTGCTGTGGGATCAACTCAAAGTAAACTACAGTGCTCGTCTTCATGGCATTTCATGGTGTCTCACTGATGTGTTTTAAATAGTTTTTGAACAACATAGCTCTGTGACACAGGTTAATAAGGTATATTACCAGACCTTTCCTTACATGCTTTGTGCTATACATCTTTACATTCAACATACAAATATACTATAGTAGTGTAATTTGTTCCTTGTGTTTACACATCCAGTGTGTCTGTGTAATAGGAACAGCAGCTGGCTTGTTTTCTGAGCAGAGAGGTGGATAGGATGCGAGGCCTTTGATCTGCAGTCTGTTTGCCTGTGAACCATGCCCAAAGGGGAAGCACTCCTCTGGGGGGGGGTGAGCCTTCATCTCCTAGTAGCAGGGGAGGATGGGCCGCACCCTGAACACTCTGTGGTCTCTGAGACGTCTGTGGAGCTGGTTTGCTAAAACTCAGTCTGAAAGACCAAAGCTTCTTAACACCAAGAGCAAGGTAGACATTAAAAGATACCAGCGTTTCAGTCATGCAGGGATTACTCCATCGAACCGCAGAAGGTTTTCTCAGTCCTCAGGAACATGAGATTGACATGTAAAAAAAGCCAACTCTGTACTGGCGTTAAGGGAAATAAAAAGGCTTCATACAGGCCAAAAGGTGTTTGGAGTTGCAGAATACCCTTGTTCGAACCAAGTGTTTGACGAGTGAAAGGCTGATTTACACACACACACACATGCACACACACACACACACACACACACACAGGTGAAACTGTATGTTTGGCCATGTTATACATATGGGCTGTGAGATTTTGTCATGTTTTTCTGTGCCCTGAGGAAGAAGACAGTCCTCCAAAATAAGATGGAACAATAAAAGTTATGTAGACATTTTGCAGTTTACTTATGTTTCTAAAAGATACAAAGAATCTGCAAAAGCCCTGATCCATTCATATAGCCTATTCCTCAACTATTCTTGATTTGCAAGATTTTGTATTACATTTATTTTTTACTCACACTTCCTATAGCACATAAGGGTATTACTGAATGGATGGATGTGCCTTTGGTGACATGCATCTACTATGTTCATTCAACCTTATGCCCCATTATGGTATAGCCAAATGTCTCAGTCAAGCATGAATAACACTACAGGGGTCTAAGGTCAATACTGTGATTATTCCAGCAAACTAGAACTGTGTCTCTCATGGGCTTGCCATCAGCACTGGGAGCACTGTTTGTGTGTGTGTGTGTGTGTGTGTGTGTGTGTGTGTGTGTGTGTGTGTGTTAGAGGATGGGGGAGTGGCAGAAGCCCAACAGTTCCCACCAAGAGCAAGTACTAGGCGACAGAGGCAAGGAAAAACTTCCTTTTAAGAGGCAGAAACCTCGAGCAGAACCATGGCTCAGGGTGGGCGGCCATCTGCCTCGACCGGTTGGGGGTGAAAGAGAGAGAGGAACAGAGAGAAAGAGAGAGGGATGGAAGGAGAGAGAGGGGAGGGAGGCAGCCTACACAATATACACACACAGAGGTACAGACAGTAAAGGTAATGTTGCTATAGACTAAATGAAAAATGGTACAGATATTTATAGTAGTGTTAATGGTAACAGTCGTAATGTTAATGATTATAATAACAATAATAACAATAGGACTAGTAACAATAGTTGTAGCAGAGGGTGTCGAGCAGGAACACGGGGGCAGCAGGTGACCCGCAGCCACAGATCCAGACTCCACAGCTCCAGAGCCAGAAACACCTGCAGGAAGTGATAGGAGGAGAGAGGAGAGGGACGAGAAAGCACAAGACTACTGGAAAGGGGAGAAGTCGCGTTAGTAACATGCAATAATGGGATGAGGTTGCATACAGAGGGAGAGAAAGTAGAGGAGAGAGGACCTCAGTGCATCATGGGAAGTCCCCCGGCAGTCTAGGCCTATAGCAGCATAACTAAGGGATGGTTCAGGACTCACCTGAGCCAGCCCTAACTATAAGCAAAGAGGAAAGTCTTAAGCCAACTCTTAAATGTGGAGATGGTGTCTGCCTCCTGAACCCAAACTGGAACCTGGTTCCACAGGAGAGGAGCTTGATAGCTGAACGCTCTGGCTCCTAGTCTACTTTTGGAAACTCTAGGAACCACAAGTAACCCTGCATTCTGGGAGCGCAGTGCTCTGGTGGGGTAGTAAGGTACTAAGAGCTCTTTAAGATAAGATGGTGCCTGACCATTAAGAGCTTTGTAGGTAAGAAGAATGATTTTAAATTCTATTCTGGATTTTACTGGAAGCCAATGCAAAGAAGCTAAAACAGGAGAAATGTGATCTCTTTTCCTGGTTCCTGTGAGAACACGTGCTGCAGCATTCTGGATCAGCTGAAGAGTCTTAACGGACTTTTTCGAGCAGCCTGATAATAAGGAATTGCAGTAATCCAGCCTAGAAGTAACAAATGCATGGACTAGTTTTTCTGCATCATTTTTAGACAGGATGTTCCTGATTTTCGCAATATTACGTAGGTGGAAAAAGCTTATGGAATGTTTCCTGATAATATTGCCTAAGGGAAGCATATATAAAGTGAAGAGGATTGGTCCGAGGACAGATCCTTGAGGAACTCCAAGACTAACTTTGGCATGCATGGAGGACTCATCGTTAACATGTACAAATTGAAATCGATCTGATAAATAGGACTTAAACCAGCTTAGAGCAGTTCCTTTAATGCCAATGAAATGTTCCAGTCTCTGCAATAGGATCTGATGGTCAATGGTATCAAATGCAGCACTAAGATCTAGTAAAACCAGTACATGCAGTGGCTGGGCTCAGTATGGTCGCAACTGTAAAAGGGTCACTGGAGGGAGGATGGAAGATGGAGGGAATGGGGGCTGGAACAAACACACACAGCTATGAAATGTTGATGTCTTGCATTAAAGGCACCATATGTGAAACGCTGTCAGCTTTGTGTCAGCACACGCTGTGAATTCTGTGACTTTGTGAGAGTATGACCCTCCGGTGATAAACAGTTCGATAACTTACAGACTTTTCAAGCTATTCAAGGTTTTCCAGGCATTTTTTGCATGCAAGTGAATGGATGGAATGTTCAGAATTTTTTTCAACTGTTATCTAGTTATTCATATTTTTAAGCTAGAAATTCCATTCAAATATTAAATTGTCCCACATCTTTCCTACTTTTTTGGTGTCATTTAACTCTCAGATCCTATTCAAACTTTTCATAACTTTGTTATAATGAAAGTCAAACCTGTATAAACCAAACTCACTACTCTTCAGCATCTTCCTACTAATTCATACATTCACCTAGAAACACCATTCAGACTTTAAAACGTTCCCAATCCTTTAGACTTTCTCGTGTTGATTCAACCTTTTCATATCATTCATACTTTTTATACAATCACAAGTCAAGTTTCATGTCATCTGACTTTATAATGTAGGTGTATGGGACAGAATATTCGAAGCTAGAGTGGGAGGACCAACTGACAGAGTGGAAATCCACAGCAAAATGTTCAACTTATCTTCAAATTGCTCTGTTTACCACAACCTTCACTCATCATATTGGAAACAAACTCTAAAAAACAGTTACGTTTTCAAAAAGCCATAGGATATGCATCAAAATCTTTCAATATATTTTGTGACAAAAATGTACACTACACACTATAGAAATAAAGATGTATCACGTACAATGTATGGGCTCTGTTTTTGCAAAGAGATGGTGTGGGACATACAGTGTTGCCAATTATGACCTGTGTAGGCACACTGAATGTTAGCCAGTTTGACAAAGGTTTGGGGAAAGATTTGAACAAATCCAATTGTCTTTTACCCAGGACTTCTTCCTGTCCTGTGAGGGGTTTAGTCAATGACAGCCAGTCAAATACACCTGCTGTGGCATCGATGACTGTGTTGTGGTCAGAAGTGAAACATGAATGAAAATCTGAATCCACAGAGAGCAGAGCAGCAGCAGGTGAGGTCAGCTGGGAAACTGTGATGCAGCCAGTTTGATGTTCACATACACACACCACCGACTGGGACATCCAAGGAACATTTTAACAAAGTTATATTCAAAATTAAATCTCTCCTTCTTCTCTTTTTTCGACAGGATGGAATGAAAGTAACTGCCATAGTGGAAACAATAACAGAAACCTACCTTTTTGTGTTTTATATTCAAATATCTCAGCATCCTGCCCTGGAGTGAAGTGTCTGAAGTAAGTACAGTTTTCCTCTGTGAAAAGAAAGAAAGTAGGATTTAGTTCAATGTTAAAACTGCATTAATTGTTTGTTTTTTTTGGCCGCCTGGGGGCAGCACAAAGACCTAACATGCTACGGTTAACATCTGCCCATTTACAAACCCAGCATGGGTCAACATTATCATTTACTTGGAGTCACAACAAATGTGAGTCAAATATTCACTCTATTTTAGCTTTGTTTTGGTCTCTACCAACATTTGAGAGAAATATCTGGCTCTTCAGCTGCTAAATGCTCCCCTACATTGACTAGCCAGCCGCTATCTATGTCTATCTGCAGTTTCGTCTGGGGCAGGTGGATATGGGTTTTTACGTGCTGCTGTGTAGTATACTCAAAATAGTAATGTTGCAGGGTATTAAACCAAAGAAATGAGCTGAAACCAGCCACACAATAATGATTTAATAAAGAAAAACACCCCACTGGATTTGATTTAAGTCAAGTGTTGTTTTTTGGGTCTTGTGAAATTTCATGACATTTAATTTAAATGTCTTCAAATGCAAATACATGCATTGTGCATAAAAAGCGAGGGTACCATCAAGAGAGAGTCATGTAGTAGAGACATGTTTATTCTAGTTAATTAAGTAAAATGGCACCATGGTGGAAGCCTTTAACTACTTTCCGGTGTTGTGTTCATTCTTTGATTCTCTTGCTTTTGTTAGCCAAAATCTTTTTTAATTTAAATGTTGCCTAGGTAACGTTCAAGCTAATGTTTGTTGCTGGCAAACAAACCAAATTTTTATCAAGGTTTTTTCACCTTGTGTAACGTATAGCTTTCTCTTCTGTTTTGTTGTAAACTTCACACCTAATCTGTTTTTTCAAATAAATTTTTATTTCACGAAATAATCTAAAGTAATCTAATCTAATCTTCTGTCTTTCTCAACAAGTAAACTTGTTAACACTTCTGTTCAAGCTTGCTCCACATACTTTTGCACCATTGGCTGTACTCAACCTGCTGTGAAGTACTGTGTGAATATGATCCTTCTATTGAACACTTAACACTGTCTTAGATCTATCTCACATTGTTTTTCCAAAAGCTTCTCACAAATTGACACCACTGGGATAATATTACCTCTAAAATGGTTGCTGTACAGACCCCAGGCTGCTTTATGTGGTTTGACTGTCAAAGTACAAATGGTTACAGCAGACGTCACGTTCAATTTTTCTTGACTGGGCAAGGCGTTAAACCTTTGTGGATTTGCACAAGTAAAGCCAGGCCGTTTTATGTGTTCACAGGATGGTTTGGTAAAGTACATATTCTTTGATGCCATGCAAGTGTAAAATAAAACAAAAAAACATATGAAACAGGCTATGTTTCCTGTTAAATATTGGTAACATTTGACTTATCTCATACCACATACTTGCTTGAGGTTTAAAAATGTAAATTTGGTTAAAAGTAGTTGGTCAAGTACAGACCGGGCGGCTCACACTTAACATCTGATACTTCACTTCATGTAACCTTTTTACAAAAGCAGAAAATTGTCTTGACCATAAATAGAAATAACATATGTTTAGATGATCATATTTGCCTAGAGAGTGCTAACCTTTATGTACAGTATTTAACACCAGACATCTTCTGGATGTTACTTAATCTCTTGCAAAGTCAAGTGCACATCAATTATCTTGGTTATACAGTGAGGTTTCCACTCACATGTTCCTAATCCCCTTTTCCATACAGACTCACCAAGAGACATCATATCAGTGAAATGCTTTCATGTAAAAATATGTTGTACTGCATGACATTGTATCATGGTAAGAGCTCTATGTCCCATGCTGGGATGGTGGATCATTTTCCTATGTACCTTGGAAACCATGGAAATAAGCTGTCAGGTGGCCCTACCAGGAAATATATGTGATATGATATTTGGCATAGAGCATAAACAATATCTCATTTTCTGCCCAAAACAAGTCAACATATTGAAACCTCATTTTGAAATTACAAGCTTTTAAATCTATGGTATCAGAGGCAACTTTTGTTATATTTGTTGAAATTGAATGAAAACAATCCACTTACTGTGGCTGTTGCGGGACTGGCTAACTGCCTACCTATCTTTACGCACTCTGCCTGCACACTGACTGCACAGGAAAATGTGTTTCGGGGAAGTGGCTTTGGAGGAAGACCTGAAGGGAGGTGGGTGGGGATTTTTTCATTTGGATGCTTTCAAAATCTAGCTGTCTCTTGCCAGCTCTCCAATGTTAATTAACAAAGCTTTAATGCTGTGTCATATTGTGTTGGCCATACTAAAAAGATGTTTTTATGAATGAGGACAGAGACTGGCCATCAAAAAAAACCAACAGAGCAGAGGTTGTTACTAAGCAACTAGCTCAACTGTTTTTATTGTAGAAGGCACATAATGAGGGTGTGATAGAGGCTCGTCAACTATTTGTACTTCTGAGCCAAACCTTGCATTCATAAGGAAAAAATATTCTTTCACGTACCCAAGACTGTGAATATTCATGTTTTTAAGGAAATGCAAATCCACCCCTCAGTCTACTTCATCCATCCCTTTAACACCAGACAACTCTTTCAATAGCAGGAAATGTGGTCTCGACTCTGGATGAGAGAAGAATTCTTTTAAGTCCTGGGTTGAAAAGTGTAAGACCTACCAACAGTTCGAGTGGCTCTTCATCCACTAAATACATTTATCTGGTTTGTTATGTGTGTTTAAGTGGAGCCACTCTGCATTTATTAGGCCTTGAATGCTTTGAGCTGATTATCTGAATAAAGCAGCTTTATTCCCACATGTGGGTGTGCATCACTTAATTACACCTTTTTTCTACCATCTTTAGAGTGCAAGCTTCAGCAAAAATATGAGGATGAGCTGGTGGTCATAAATTAATCTGTATTCATCAGTGGAAGCATGCTGCCACTAGCAAACACACACACACACACACACACACACACACACACACACACACACACACACACACACACAGCCTGACTGAATGACTGTTGCCACACTGTAGTGTTTCCATCACTTTCACAGACTTACATTGACTTACATTCATTCTTTACCTTAAACCAAGTCTTCACCTTAAAATTGAATGATTTTCTGCAGCAGGACCTAAGATTGGCCCAGACCTCTGAGCCTGTGTTTTAGTTTTGTCTGCTCTATCTGACCCTTGTAACCTTCCTCATTCAACTTACATGCTAAGTGAAGACAACTTCAATTATGTTGTTGCAGGGTCAAAACAAGCGCACATGCCACCACCATTACATCCAATGTAGGTACATTAGTGTCTTTTACTACAGAGCCCGTCAGTTTTTAATGCTAAACTTCAAACAAATCATGCGCAAAATGTATTCATTTAAGGGAATCACATTTACATTTACTCTACATTTTGCCTCCAATACATATCTCTCTGTAAATTAAAGTACTCACACTCCACATAAAGAAAGTGGAGCTTTGAATCAGCTGTAAATCCACAGAAGCATATGGACACATGTCTACATAAATGTTACAGATATCACTGGGTATTCCCACCCCCACATATATGATGCCTATCCCTGGGTTGGTATGTCATTTGAGTGCCTATAAAGGCAAAATACCAGTGGTTCCACTTTCTTTTTGGACTATGCATCCCATAGGGGAGTGTAAAGTAATTTGAGTGACTGTGTGGGCTGCACAGAGACGTGAAGCTGCAGGAAGGTCTTGTGGGAACAGTTTAGTGGGACAGCAGGCCTTAGAACTATGCCTGACTCTTCCAGGCGGCCCCGTCACTCAGAGGAACGCTGGAGTTGGCGTGAACACTTGACCCTCACAGCTTCCACCCAAGACAGCTGAGTATTTACGTGGCCTATATTTATAACCACAACGACTGCTTGCTGAGCAGTTTACACAATATTATTTTAAAAATCCCACCTTTTCTCTATCTGGAACCATGATAAATGTGTTTTAATAACTGCCCATCTTTATATGCTGTGGCAATTGAAACTGCCAAAATGCACAAACAAAAGCACAAAATTCATTTTTCTTTTGAAAATTAAACAGGATGAGCAACAAGGAGGAGCTTTGTATCAGATGTTGCTTATTCAGAGCTCACAGCAGCTCGGAAACCCAGTATAAAAAGAGATCCCAATATGAAAACTCAGACTACAGTATAGCACCTAAAATTAAAATAGCCCTCAAGTAAATTTTGGCTCAAATGGAACTTTTCTTTGTTTGAACTGAAGCGACATTTAATGTAAGTCTGTTTTTCTGAGATCATCTCGCCATCTGCGCTTTGTCAGCAGTGCCCTGGACAACAACTCAGCCCATATTTTCCAGATGAGTGAGTCGCAGTGAACAGGACCTCCTCACACTGTTTCAGTATGGCTTTGGATCAGAGGGTTACACCTCTCTGAAGATGTGTGACTGTGATAAACAATAATGTTCCTGTCCAAATACAGCTATTGGGCTGGGAAACACTCCTGGAGACTAATGGAACATCTCCCAGATTTACTTACTACTTAAATAAAGGCTGCCAAGGTGGCCATCACAAATCACATGTATTGTTGTAGACATGAAAGGCTGTGTATAAGGCTCTTTATAATGCATATATTATAATATAATAAAAGTCATTGTCCAAATATTTATAGATCCCCACTGTGAGAATGTACACTATGTGCTGTCAAAAATTGCAGATAGATGCTCCAGAAGCATTTGCCACAATCTGATGGATTCCCTGCATGTCTGAGTGGGAAGAGCTGATTTAATATAATCAGCACATGCCTGCCATGCATGCACAAGTGAACCACCCTCAGGCATTTCATCTGCTCCTGGAATGGCCCTGCAGCAGACAGTGTCTGGGATTCCCCAAAGACTAACAGCCAACATCAGTTAGGACATATTTTGGGAGTTTCTTTCAAGCTTTGCGAGTTGGACAAATTTGGTGGGAAGTTCCAGGCCAATTTACATAAAGGGACATGCAGGGTCAGATATCACTCAACAGTCCCATAATGGTTTCTCTGATAACGGTCAACGTACCAGCAGGGTCGTCACCATTCTACAGAGGAGTGCCTCTCACCACAAGTCATTGAAACTGCAATCGTTCAACACTGTTTACATCCATTTTCATTAAATTAGAGACTGCTATTTTATTCAAGCAGCTTTAAGAGCATCTGTTATCACAGAAAGTTTATTTTTTGAGACATTCATAGCAAGGTGAGTTCTTCTGAGGACATCTTTATACACATAAACAATTAGCTGACCACATTAACTCAGCGTCATGAAGGGCGGTGGTTGAAGAGATGTTTAGAGCCTCTAGTTAAGTACAAGCATTAATACCACAGTATAAACATACTCCTTTTTAAGTAAAGTTTTTGTATTCCAAAGTACTATTATGAGCAGCAAAATGGCCCCTTTCATAGTGTATTATACAATTTGTTACTTTAAATTATTGGAGAAGTATTTTAATGTTTTAGCACGTTAATTTAACCATTTTATGTACTGCTGGGTAGTTTAATCGACAACCATGTGTCGCATATAATAATCTGCAGAGTAACTAGTAAACATTGCTATCAAGTATTTTAAATGTCTAGTGGAGTCACTCCACAATAGTTCCATCTGAAGTGTATGAGAGTAAATGCATAAAGTAAGATATAATTGAATTGAGATGGGTCCTGGGACCCATCTCCTTGGAAGTGCTCTGGGACTTAATTTGAGTTTCAGAAGTAGAAGCTTAAGAGAGTTTAGAAACTGTTGTTGATTCTAAGAGGAATTAAGACTTAATGACTAAAGAAACTGACAGTGGTTAATTTACACCAAAGTAAATATTAATGTATGTGTTGGAAATTGTTTTTGTCATATTTGTTGAATTGTATGCTGCCTGTAATTTAAAGCTAGACAGAAAGAATAAATGTACTGACTAATAAGTGCACTGACTAAACGATGGTTACTTTAGTAGAGGGTTACGCCAATAACTAATTGGAATTAATTGAAAGTGAACCAATTGAACATTCTCTCCCTGTATTTAAATGACTGCCTGTATTTAAACTATACTTAGATTTCAGGAAACTATGGGAACTATAAAATAATGTGTTACTAATGGGAATACTAAAGTAAAATACAAGTTCCTCAAAATTGCTTTAACTACAGTTACTTTCCATCATGTTAAAGTGATTTCACTGACGATGATGCATGTCTATATGTCAGTTACAGGCACCATGTTAAATGGAGCATCAATTGTCTGCACACTCTACGTTAGCTGGTTTTACTAGTAAACACCTCTTTAAATAGAAAGGAGGCATCAAACAGTGAAATAAGCTGGTGTTTGGTGTCTGCTTAGTGAAAGCCTGCTGACTGTTGGGACGTCATGACTCTCGCTCGGCCATCTCTGGTCAACGTCAAATATAACTGATAGTTTTATTCAAAGGAGGGGCACGGACGGATCATCATCACCCAGGTGACTGAGGCTCAATTAGCACACTTGAAAACCACCACAAGACGGCCTAAACATGGCCTAAGCTCAGAGACTAATAGATGTGTTAGACTGCATTTTCACCACTAACAATGGAAAAAATCTTATTAGCTTCTTCAAGTATGTTTCAGATGAAAAATCAACTATGTTCTCACAGTCAATTTATTTTATTAATTAATGGAAGGCTCGTGTCACTCAGAATAAGATCTTTCTTCAGTTTCACAAGGGAGTTTATAATGTCAACTGACATGTCTAGTGACCCTGCATTAGGACCTCTATTCTTAGAATCTTCAAACCTCAGGACTCTGGGCTGGTTTGCATATGGGCGCCTCACAGTCACAAACAAACAATATTCATACAGTTTAGAACAATGCCCTTAGTCTAAATGGTACAGCAATAGAGAAAAAAGCCAATTGTGCCAGTTAAAGAAGCTTCTCTTACCTCCAGGCAGGCTGATGGGTCCGCAGCCATGCCCCTCCACGTAGTTTTCCGAGCTCATGTAGATGTGCTTCTTGCACAATCTCCACAGGCCGAAGTGGGCCGCCTCGCAGGTCTCATTGACTTTATCCACCAGCGGGCTGAGCACTGCCCAGTGGTCCGTTACTACTGCCGTGAACATGCAGGCCATTCCCACCAGCAGCACGAAGACAGCAATCTTAATCTTTGTGCGTTTGTGCATGTTTCCAGGTAGTGAGATTTCTGTTAAATGAATATTCTTTGCCTGGTATGAAAAAAAAATCTACAAAATTGGATGTTCTTCTATACGTCTGTGTCCTAGAAGCTTCTTTCCTCAGTGACTGCAGCAAGCTTCCCACCTCTCCGCCTAAGACTAGTGTCTTCTCTCCCCTGTCGCAAATCTGTGCCTCTGGTTCGAAGGGAAAGGGGCCAGACTGTTCTGTCCCCGTTTCAAGTCCCCCTTTTCCCTACTCACTATGAGTTGCTGTACAACTGAGGGGCTGCAAGTTTAGACTTACAGCTGTTGAGGTAGATCAGGAAAGTTGATGACCAAACCAACTGTCTGCCATGGTGGGCAATGGGCGTGGGGGCTACTGCATGTGTTGGTAAGTGATTTTCTGGGAGGGGGGGGGGGGGGGGGTGTTGGATGCTATAAATGAGCTATAAATGTGACTGGTGAGTCAAGTTGTCAGACTGTCTGCTTATCCGATTACAGTGCCAGATAGATAGACAGAGATGTGCAGCGTGACTCATATAAACACATTCTCTCATCCATATATACACGTGAATTTTCAAAATGGACATTTCGGCCTTGTGAGAATAGTTTTCCCCCTTGTTTCCATCCATCTACAGTGGCAATGTTTTCACTCTCTGTCTTCTTACAAGACCGCCTCAATATGGATTTGGCTCTGTAAACTATTTATAAGGAGAAGGTGGATGTGTTTATATAGAGCAGCAGCGGGGTTCCAGCTGACAAACAGTAGAGTTTCTCGGATGGAACAATACTGCTTTTAGTAATTCCTGTCAGGATACCCACTTAACACTATGTCTAATAAACCAGGTAAAGTTTAAATTGATTATAACGGCTTCTTTACTGAGATGCTCAGCGTGTCATGTCGCTACAGTGTCATGGTAAAATCATGGTAAAAAGGAGTTTTAAAAGGTGAAATCAGTAACTGACTACTGTCCTTCTGCATAGAAACGCATAGCCTGCAACATACAGTGTAATTCTTTGTGAACCAGGATAATAAGTACCAATAAATACGTGTAGGTACAAGTGTACAATATGTGAAGTTATGGAATAAGCGGGTAATAATGTGGGAACTTAAAGATAATTTATACTGTATTGGTATTTTGCAACTAAGTTAGAAGTTTAGGGGAAGAGGGGCAACTGAGTTCTATGTAGCCTTTTATAAATCTGCTGAGATTTATTTCAGAATTACTATATACTACTTCCCTAAACTGAAGGGCTACAGATGATAACAAAATGAGGATAGGAAAAGTACATAATTCCTACCAACTACATTTGTGTTTTTACTTTGCAACAAACAGAGGGAGAGAGAGGAAGTATTACCAACATGCTGTCGGCCTATATCCTATATGTTACTGTTTATATTTGGCCTATTTTCAGTATAGAATACAACATTGTACTTACAGGGGACTGAGGTGGTACAGGTTTATGTGGACTGACACTGTTGTTATACACAGTGCTGTTCACTGTTGTTTTGGAGTTCAGGAAGTTGTTAAGCTTTTTTATGAGGCAGCTGTAGAAGATGATCGTTTCATGTCCTCACAGTGTAACTGTCACGAAGAGCAAAACATACAAAGACTATAGTCATTGAAAAACTAAACTATATGACTAAATATGATATGACGAACTATGAGTAATTTTGTAACTTAACGAAACAAAGTAAACTAATTTCAAACTATTTCAACTTGCATCGATAGAGTCCCTGAACAACAGGTCAATGGAAGACAGTTTCAGCTGCCACACGCTTGTGACCTGTGTGCGGTTCTCAATGCTCATGTTAAGATGGATACCCGGTAATTAAATACTTACAGTGTAAGTTCTCTTTAAATACTTCCCAAACCCCAGCTTTGTTGCTCAGTAGTTCATACTGCATCCCATATTAACAGAATAGTTTCCCAGTAGATTAAGAATTTTCTCCACTTTCTTCCCACATTGTTACCTCCTTATTCCCTAACTTCACATTATGCTTCATTGTACCTACAATTACACCAAACTGGTACACCAAAAAAAGGACACTGGGATGAATTACTCTTATGCTATGGACCGTGATCTAAAGCGTGACTAAATAATCTTTTCCTGCAACAACATGTGGTTTGTTTTGTGGTACAAGGGAATATGAGTGGACAACGCACCCTAAAGCCCATGTAGAAGTAACAATACCTATCTTTCGAAAAAGGTTATGTATAAGTAAGTTATGTAAGTGTTGTGCTATGTAAAGATCACCAAGTCTCCTGCAAATGAGGCTACATGTAGCATTCAAGTTACAGACAGGCACATTGGTACTTCTGTTTTACTGTTATTCCACTACAATAATAGTAATCAGATATGATGTGAGGGTACTTTAATGTCTTAATGCCTTAATGCAGAAACCTCTGCCATTAATGACATTTACCTTACAGAAAATAATTCACATTTAAATATTTTCCTGTAAACTTCAAGGACTGCAGACCTTGCCTACAGATAACAACTTGAATTGCGATGGCCATAGCAGAGTACAATGTTCACAGTTGGTGCAAAATGGTGAGTTGAGAAACAAACCCTGGTCTTTTGATTCTGCGGCATGCACACCACACCCTGATGCATACCAGAGATGTATTAGGCAGGTGAAAATGACTACTACATAGGAGCAATGGACATGTCTCAGTGTAGCATCCTCTCATCTCAAATTATGCTAATTGGAATAAAAGCACACCAAAATACACCATAGAAAAAAAGTGGTCACAGGACAAGTTGTACTTGTACAGACATAACGGGCTTGGATTTTTCATTTTATACTAGTACATATTATGTACAGTGCATAAAGTACAATAAAATGTTCATGTAAAGGCATTTTTCAGTGCTGTGAAATGTGTGTGGGGAAAAAAAGAGAAGAAAAACCCAAAAGGTGCGCTAATCTCTTTGATAACTCCCTTACAGTAAATCACACTGGTACGTCTCTGTTTATATTTTTTAAGCCTTGGCCCACTTTGGTTCTTTTATAAGAATTGTGACCCACTTCCCCCCACCCGTTTTGAGCACTGGTGCTAGTGAAAGTCAAAAAGTTCTCACGGAAACAGAGTAGAATTCGAGAAATCACTACAAAACCTGCACACAAGCTAACATACTGTATGTATGCGTGCAGACACCAGCTGAGGGACCAGTCAGTTGTTACCACCAACTATACCCACCCACTTATGTCCCAGAAAGCATTGCAGTGGTTCCGCTCAACAGATCCTCAATCTAATCCTTAATGAAACAACAATATTCTACTTGAATTCACTTTGTTTTAAACAACAACCTGGCTCCTGTTTTTGTTGTTTTGCTTTGGCCACTTTGGAAAATGATACCATTTTACTCACTATTTTACCCTGGCAACATGAGGACTCCTCTTCTGGGCGGCTTTCCGTTTGATTCCACAACACATTGCAAACAGGAGGCATCAGGTTTCAAACAAATCCACTTTATCTGAATTATATAAAGCACCAACAGTATTTGGACATGAAACTGAAAGTGTATTCATCCAGTGTGTCCATTATAGTGATCATTCCATCCAAACAGGCAGTAGCACTCCAAATCAAATGGACAGTTTAGATAATAACAGATAATGGCATTAAAGTGGTTCAAAACCTGTTTGATTGCTCATGTTTGTGATGCCTTGAGCTGATTTTGAGTTGATGTTGCCATAATAAAGAATTGAAATTCACTCTGCTTACCACGCTGTGTGTCCTCACCCATCATATAGGTTTGGTGAATCTGTAACTCTCCTTGGCCTTACATGTGTTGTGTGTGTTATCCCATGATAGACGGTCCAGGCTGAATCCTGTCTCTCTGGCATTGGCTACTCTTTACTTCCATTGACCTTCACCCTTAAAAACATTCTACTGTGTGTGTGTGTGTGTGTGTGTGTGTGTGTGTGTGTGTGTGTGTGTGTGTGTGTGTGTGTGTGTGTGTGTGTGTGTGTATTTCATGGTTTTATATTTTATATGGGGAGTTTAACATGAATGTACACTAAGCAATGGGGATTCGTGTCACTGTGAAGACACAAATATACATGCTCACAGGTGGAGACGGCTTTTGGGTTTAGGGTTCAGATGCAATTAGGTTCAGGTTAGGTATGTAGGTGTCATGGTTACGCTTAGGGTAAGGGGCCAGGGAATGTTTAATGTCAATAGCATGTGGGTGTGTGTGTGTATGGGGCCTGGATGGATTACCAGATAAACTCTCCTCATTAAACCCTTAATCAATCACACACCAGTGATGGCACTGAAATAATTACTTCTAAAGGAGCAACCACCCCTCCATTAGCTGGTTCAACCTCTGACCTTTTGCTGCACAGAGACAGCCACACTGGAGCTGTAAGTGTGAGTCCTCAGGGAGACTTCTGGCTCTTCAAATATCTTCTAAGAAAAATAACCTCATCCTGTGGGCTAATGGTGTGGACAGAACCTGAACCACTAAACCCTATTGATTGTTATCACAGAGGACACGAGGCTATATTGATTTTTGCTTATTGTGACTGTTTGTTGGTTTGGGCCTTCTTTGGTCTTAGTTGACTTGAACCAACTTTGTTACAAAGAGTCCAGCGTCAGACTTATACCAGTGGGATCTCATTTCTGAACTGCATGCAAACCAATATGTGTGTCAAGTATGTGTAACAGAACGGAATTTATAATTTTATGGTGTGTTTGCTGACAAGCTGAATTAATTACATCTATCTGATGAAAGACTGAACGAAATGAATCAACCTTGGCGTGATTAATCTATGAAGGCCTACAGTACAAGACAGTTTGATCAGAGCTTGTTGTTGAGTTAACTTTTCATTTAAACACACTTACTGACTTGTTCAAATGTACTTGCAGTAATCAACAAAAACAATAAGGCACTGATTGTGGTTTCTAAAATGATTAACCTTCTTTGATGCATGATTTGAGACATTCTGTAATGTACTCTTTCCTTATACAACTTTAGAAATGAGGGCAACGGGTGCCTACTCAGAAGCTTTTGTTTTTCTGTCTCGAATGAAGACTTGTAACATCATGCTGCTCGACCATGTGGTATTTTTTCTTGTGTATTGTTAATCCATGACACAGAGGCTTCTGGTGTGCGACAACCTCATTTACCAAAAGTTCAGTTTCTGCAGCATTTGAAGTAGATTAGTGAAAATGTACTATTTTAAGTCACTGGTTTGGTGTGCATGAACATGACATGATTTGTCACTATATGGTGCAAAATAGTGACTCAGTTAATGAGTTGAGTAAACCGTTCTTGCTCTTTTATCCTTAACAACAGAGACAAAATAGAGGTATATTGTTATTCTTTTATGATTTTTAACATTTTTCACCAATTTGAATCTGTTGAGGCTGGTGGTATCTTTCTGACATGACTTTATTTTGTTTATGATTCTACTTTGTTGCCAGCTTTACGGTGGTTACATGGGATGTAGTAAGAAGAACTGGATGGAGCTCCATTCATTCATGTGAAAGTTGCTCAGTGGGTGTGTATGGAAAAAATTTTTCAGGCCTCCACAGGCATCCATGTTTCTGGGCCCACAGAGCATGTGCACTAAAGCACTAAAGATTGAAAGCATGCATGTTAGAGACTTCCTCTGGCCGACTTATTATACATAATTAAATTAAAAATAATTCAATTAAATAACTGACTTGTCTATACTTTTTATTGGATCAAAATGATTAATTTCTCATGATGAAAAAACTCAATTTTGGTTGTTTGTGACTCTGATGTGTAATTATTTCACAGTCCTTAACTGAAACAGACCACAGAGGGTTTGAGGATTGTGTGCAATCCTCAAACCCAATAATGGATATAAGGACAGTATGCTGAGTTGAAACACAGAACTGAAAAACTGTGTCACACCTGAGGGCAATTCTCTTCTGTACCAATTCACCACTTTGAAATAATTTATTTTAGCAATGTGGTTGCCTGAATATCATACACGCTTTCTTTTTGTTGGTTATTTGTCAGCTAATTAAACTGAAACAAAACTTTCTTGCTTCTCGTTCTTTTCTTGCAACACCCGTAGTTGAACATCAAAACATGCTACTTACTGTTGCATTTGCTTTATATTTTTGACATTTAACTTTGTTTGCATTTGGGGGATTAATGGGGAGAGAAAAAAATACCATATATTAGCCAAGGAGCTTGGCCCTCCTCCTAGCGTGTTGAAAGGGTTTTGTTTGCTTATTATCAGATAAGCTGCATTTCTGCAGACTTTGTAAAATAACTGAATATATTACACTACACCGTGATGATTTGTTGTTCTTCATGTGTCATAGTAGATGAAAAGGGTTAAGCTCCAACTGCTGCCAGCTATATCCAGTCTTAGCACAGTCACAGATGTCATCCTAATGGATGCCTGTGGTTTCTGGATTGACAGTATGGCACAGATATCAACAGGGAGCGAGGAATCAAGCCCCCTGCTGGACAAAATCTCAGCCATTTAAAATTTTCAAAGAGAACTTGGAAGTGGAAAGAGTGCCTGTGGAGATGGGATCTCTCAGGAGGTAATCGCATCTGGCTTTCACATTAATCCTCTAACCTCCAAGTACATGTTGCACTAACAATGAAGACCACATAATATTAAACTAACATGTACTTCAATGAACTGGCTCTCCAAGCATCAACATGGAGTATAGTGTTGCTCTCGACATGGGCGACTTGATGACAGTTCTTGACGTTATGTTGAGACATCAGTGGTTTTAGAAAAGAAAATTAAGCACAAATGACATTTTTTTCCGCCTGTTTTTGATAACACAAATGATCTTTTCTCTATGTGTGGAGATTTTGTCAGCTGGTGATACAGCTGTTTGTATACAAAATGTATTTCCAATTTGTATACAAACTGATGTAATATCTACACCTGCCAGTTACATTTGTAATTATATTGTTTGTCTAAAAATGAGCCTTCATTGTCCTTCCATGTCTTACAAAAGCAGACATATAATTTATAACTTTAAATAAGTAGCTTTTAATGACAAAAACTATGGCTGATAAATTGCTTTATAATTAAATCATTGCTGGCTGTTGCTCTGTCATGGCATCAAGTGTATCAGGTTTAGTATAAAAATAGATGAAGTAGACTGAACCATTTGTCACACCAGCAAATCAGGTTACAAAGACAGAACAGGGGTTGAGACCCCTAATCCTTATTTTATCTGTCCTGCACAGCTAGGTACTAAATCTAAGAAGCATGTTGGCTAGTTCTGTGCCTGCATGGAGAGGTGACCCTGCCATTTTTTTTACTTTGGGAGATATTTCACTGCTACACAATTGGAGGGAGGAGGGGGGCGGCTTTATTGTGGATGAAAATATCAGTGAGGTCCATGGCATTCAAATTCACAGGGTTTAACAGCCTGGGTGATAGACAGAGGAGAAGGGTGGAAAAGAATCGCTAAAATTCGGGGCTAGAATGGGAAACAAGGTCATCAGACCAGTTTGGCATAACAGAGATACATCACACACACAGAGAATGAAAATAAGTCTATTCTAATTCAAGGCTTCCCCTGTTCCAGTGACTTGAATGACAACTACTGTATAGCTGAGCATATGATAAGCATGATACTGATTCACAGACCAACAACCAAACTAAACCAATTCCAACTGCTGCTAAAAATATTCAACTGGGAAACAAACCATGAAGCTGACATGGAACCCAGTGAAGCGTGTACTATACCAAGAATGAGTAATTTGAACTTCTAACTTCCACACACATACACCACCCCTTTTGCTCCAGCTTTTGTTTGGAGACAAGGAGACAAAGTTTCTGAAATCTGGAAGAGCATTTGGGAGCCTGTTAGTTCAGTCAAGCATTAAGTTGGCTGATGCCGATTTCCTTTAACACCCTGTGGTTGCCCGACTGTCTGCCTTGGAATTTCATAGCAGAACATAACAGGCCAATCAGCCCCCCGTCATTAGCTAAATACTTCCTCAATAAAGAAAAGCAAACTCTGTGGACCAATTCTCAGTTCATAATTTACTTTAAACAAGTCTAAAAGTGAAGTTAAATGTAATTACAAAGTTGAGATATGAAGATTAGGCTTTCCCAGTCAATGTTCAGAAAAGCTGTTCTTTTATTCTAAAGAGTCCAAAATAAGTTTTTTTCTGTTTAGGGGACTAGCCAGCCTGTTCCTGACCTTTGACCAGCTTAACATTAACATGATAATACTCTATATCTTAGAGGGAAACTTTGTTATTTTTCATCCTGGACCCTATTTTTCCATGTCTATGTGACTAATTGGCATATAATTTTTTGAAAGTGACCCAGTATTGAGCAAGCGTGCTGCAGCAGTGAAACAGGGTTGCAATATAATCCTTGTGGGCAATTGTGCCTCATCAAAGTACATCCACTAGTGCTTGTCTTTGCCACTGACAGGCTCAGAGTGTCTGACAACATTATGGAAAGGATCCGCATTGGCCAAAACAAAGACCGCTATAACAAGAGACAGTTTCACACAAAATGCTGGGAAACCATTGCAATGTTATAGTAATATTTTTTATAAACTCTATGTTGAACTAATCCATGCGGGTTCCATGACAACTTTACATTGACTGCATTTAGCCAACATGATAAATCAGCATCAGGGTCATGTAAGTTACAGCGACAGAGATAGGTGAATAAGCTGTGTACCTGTGTACTGGTTAAACGACAATAAATCTAAATTGAACGTTACAAAACAAACATTGCAGATCCATACTAATCTAGCTGGCTAACCCTGCATTGCATCACTGTAGGCTAGTAGAAATAAATCATTCCACATTAGCTTTGTACCATTACATAATTTCTTGCAGGCTAAAGTCAATATTTTGACATATTATCTTTATACAGAATAGTAATATGGATCGCGTTAACAAGAGTGTGGCAAGCCATAAAGTTACAGCTAAAGTATTCTGCAATAGATGTTGGCAAATGGTCGGCTTTAGCTGGCAAGCTAACGTTATCTAACTTGAGCCAAATAACACTATATCAAAATATATTTATATTTTTTTGATGTTACCAGACTCCATTTCATTTGCTTTGGTGTTGTTGCTGTGTGTACAGTTCAGAATCATTAGGCAAGAGGGAGCATGCATGAACGTCATGGCCTACGTAAGCCAATAGAGTTTGGGGAAATCCAACCCGATTTGTTCACACTGGAAGCAGCATAGAGGCTGTTACAGCCAACAGAGAAAGAACCAGGAAATAGTTCATTTTTATGTGAGTTTACAACTGATTCATAGATAGGCAAAAAAAAGTGATTCATTTCATTTAAAAAGTACACATAGCCTCTTTAAATTAAAATTAAAACCCAATTAATTAATACGAAATCCTTCATAGAGTTCATAAAAAAAACTCACATAGGAGAGCACGTGACCCTACGATCCACATGTAACAGATGTTTATTTGGATGCCTTCTGGCTCTGTACATTGCTTCAATCATTCTGCTCCGAGGTCATGGGCTAACTATCCCAGGCACTTCATAACATAGTTACTTTAAAAGCATTAACTGTGGCTAAGAATATCATGTAGGACAAAATGAAACCATTCCAAGACACATCCATTCAGTAACTTGGGAGTTGATTCCTCAACAGCCCTGATCAGAAGCTTTGAACTCAACATATGTGTTATACCTGCAAATCCATCTCAATAACACAATGTGCTTATTGCTTTTAAAATGGTTGCCATCTACCCTTTCCCCCCTTGTCCCTTTTTTGTTTTGTATTGTAATTGTGTTGTAATGTGACTGAATACTTTTCTGTTTTCTGTTTATGTTGTTCATTGTACTGTATTGTTATTGTGTCTTTTTTTCAGGGATTTGCTTTAACCACTGGACCAATAGAATCACTGGATTTGCATACAATTGTAGTAATTTTTCAATATCCTCCATCATGCGATAGTACGGTTATCTAATTCAGAAAGTAACAAATGATGACACAACATTGTTTCTTATTGTCAATCCCTTGAAAATTACAATTTTTCAAAACAATTACTATACAAATACTTTACATATGAGTTCTGCATCAGTTACCAGAGATTTTTTTTTGTGCCATGATCAACAAATCTGTACCAGACAAAAACCTTCTTTACACACAAAGGCAGTAAATGCACAAACAAGAGTCATGTTAATTAATAGCAACACATACAGCGTGATCTCACCTCTGTTTTTACACACACCAACTGTCACAGTCTGTTTGGCTTAGGTAAGGAAAACCAAACACAACTTAAACTTGTTTTTCTTTCTCATGCTGTACATCTCTAAAAGTAAATGCATTTGTTCCACACATCGTCCCTGAGCGAACAGACAGCAAACCAGAAATACAGTACAAATAATGTTTACACTGATACATCACACAGCATACTGGAATGTAGTGACATTATCGCTATATATCTACAGAAATCCATGTTCATAGTATTAATGTGTCCCAGTGTGGCAGTGTTTCAGAGCTGTGATGCACATTTCACATACTGTAACATATATTTATCACATGACTCACATACAAGCTTGAGAGAGGTTATTGAGAGACAGTAAAAGTATTTAAATGGCAGTTGAGAAAGCTTAAGACCAGCAAAGGTGTACAGATTAAGTTAGCACCAGTTGTGTTAAGTTACAAATAACATATAATATTATAATACTCAATCATTAAATCACTAAATTTTAGACAAACATCTGTTTTTTTCCTCAGAATAAAAGAAATACCTTCATTATCCAGCTATTTTAGAAGAAAAACATCATTACCTGAAGGTCAATATTCAGAGTCTTTATAGTATTGAGCAAGTCTATAAAAGGTTAATTATTTTATCAGGCAAAGTCTTAAGTGACCATCCTTTAAAAAATAACAGAATAAGAACAACAATTTTCAGTCTTTCTGTAAGAGAAGTGTGTATGCGGTTATCCCATTTTAGAATTAAACCTCTCAAATATTGCTACAAAATGTCTGCATCCCCTTTAAAAAAAGGATTCATATCATAAAAAGTTGTTCTGATATCACTTTTCCTCCTTTCTCCAAATGAAACACAGATTGGCACTTTTCTGTCACAGAGGGACGCAAGGAAAACAATTTTGAGCTCTGACCTTTCAACATCGCTGCTGCCTGAACAGCCCTGGGGAGGAATTGTCCTTTCTCATCAACTGTACAATGTGTAAGGTTTTCCATCAAGCTTATTGTTTTACACAGCAATACACTCCTGATCTCATACAGGCGTGGTCCTCCTGTTGACGCCATCTTTCAGATCTTTCTGGAAGCAGTTGTGGACTTGTAAAAACTCAGAGTCCCTCTCTGGGCTGTAGTGCCTTGCAGTCCCACTTGCACCCTTCAAAGGGTCCCTACTGAGGGCGTACAGGGATATATCCCCCATTGGCAAACCCATCCCCAACCCTCCTCCGCCACTTCCTCTACCGATCTTCATCCCCACTGGGGAGGGCTCACGGGACGGGTCAGTTGACCTCGAACTGGAGCGTGAGCGCCTTCGTCTGTAGCGGTAACTTGGGATGCGAGAGTATGGCGAAGAGGAGGAGGTGGTTTTGATGAAGTCGCGTTGGGCTCGGAAGCGCGTCTCTTTGTTTTTCTCAATATATATGTTGACTGCGAGAACACCCACCGATTCAGCCACGATGAAGGAAAGGGCGCCAAAGTAAAAGGACCAGCCGTAGTTGTAGAGGTTCTTCTTGTCCTCGTCTTTCTTGTCACTGGGATCTCCGGCGTTGCTGGAGATATAGACGATGATACCGATAATGTTGCTCAGGCCTGACGCGAGGAGAGAAGATCAACAGAGAAAGATGAAGAGAATTAAGAGGGGAGAAAAGAAAGAAAAACATATGGATGCAAAGTACCAAATGTTTAACCATATAAGTGGATGATAAAATCACCACAAATGTCCCCACCACTTTTTGAAATGGCTGATTTTGTCCCCATCACTTTTTGAAAGCATTTGTTAAAAATGTTCTTAAAAATAGCTTGCACTAAGAAATCTAACAAATGAAAATGCTTTGAGAGACATTTATTTGCACAATAATAAACATGTAAAGCAATTAAATGTGGAAGAAAGAAATTTGAATTGTCCCAAAAAGTAACTTAAGCTAAACGAAAACAAACCTAAATTGGAACAGAAAATGTCTCCAGAATGCAGGAAATTAAGTTTTTACGGCTCAGATTTTTCTGGGGGAAGACCGCCAGACCATTACCACCTTGTTCTTGTACATCGCCCATGCTACACCTACATTTTCATCACATACACCACCTGAGAAAATCATCTTTTCAAGTTAGGTCTATTCCTTATTGAGTAGAATTATATTTTCTAAAATTAAAAAGAGATATTATCATGAACCCCTGACTTGAATAGTCACATCTCTTTAGATTTTCACCTTCTGACATTCTTCTTTACATATTCACAAAGAATAATTTGTCACTTCCAATTAGAGAGAAAAAAAGGATTTGTGGGAAATGGAAGATGCGCACTTTATTTGTTGTGTTATGTGTTTTATTTGAATATATGAAAAGTTAGGTTAACTTTAAAAGAAAGAGATGAAACTCAACACAGATACCAAAGGGAAATCATCTTGCATTGTGTCTGTCTTCTTCATCTGTCTGCTTATGTCCTTCTTCATTACTAAGTCTATTTCTTGTCACGCCAGTTTGTGTGTTTATCTGTTGTGCACTGTTAGTCTTGTCCTACCTGCAGCCACAAACAGGATGCCAGCACTGAGCAGGATGTTGTTCTTGTTGCTGTAGATGCGCCCAACCCCGACACACAGGCCACCCAACATCAGCAGAATGTTGCTGAGAATGGGAAACAGGCTTGATGCACGCACTATACCTGTTCATATAAGATAGAGATGGTGAAGCCTTCTTGTCAGTACCAATACAGTAATACATCACTTTTATTAAATATATAAGATAAAGGCTGAGCAGCATATGAATTGATATTGACAATAGTGCCAATAAAGTCGTAGTAGTAGAAATACTGCCATTGTTAATGTTAATACTGTAGTATTGTAGCAGTAATAATCTTGGAAGTATTCCTAGTAGAAGTAGAAGTGTATTCATTCATTCACATCGTTTGTTATATTTTACCATGCACCTATTGTAGTATTGTTATTCATCATTCACGAGGTTTATAAATCTGCAATAAAATTTTTGACCACATCAGGGCAGCACAACAAACTGTACAAACAACAATGACATATTAGCACCTTATAAAGTTGTTATGGTGAATGCATTGGCAAACAATTGCCTATTCACACATACAGCAGTTGTGTTTCCGGTCACCTGGCAAAACCAACATCCAGCTCTGTTTTGGCAACCAAATCTGAAGAAATATCTGGAACTGCTATAATTTTGGCTGTCTGCTGTTTGGCGCTGGACATGTAGTGGTTTTATCAGAGCTTTTTATTCTATAACAGCTGCTGAGGTTGATGAGAATTTTGTAAAACCAAAACAATGAGTGCAAAGATGCTAAAATTTTGATTGGAGCAACTTTTATTATATTGTATTAAAGATTCCCTGTGGAGTTTTTGGACCTCTAGTAGTGCTATGTATCTGTTTTTGCAGGATTTAATTTCAAAGAGCTTAGTGAAATTCATTGATATAGCCAACAGCAACAAGATGGGAACAGTTGCTTTGGGACAGAGCACACACAGGGCATCGAAAAAAATTACTAACTATTACTGGATTATAATAACCTACAAATACTAATAGTGTTTAGACAATTTTCAATGTAGCAGCACAGAGTGACATGTCTTCATTGAACTACCTTTATCAAATGAGATGTGCTCTTCTGTGGGTAAAGTCATCTTTGAAATCTGCACACAACACACTTCATCATCTCCATAGCTCCAATTACTGTCATGACATCAGGCTTTTATGGGGGAGGGATTGAGATGTCATGACACATTAAGTACCCTTGTGAAACTCCATCACCACTCGATGGGGAAAAAAAGAGTATTAAGGGTTGAAGTGTTTGAAGATCAAGAGGTTGCAGTGACTTACGTAAGATGTACTCTGAGCTGTCTGTGTCGTAGTCGTTATCCTCTGGAAAATGATTGATCCGAAAACAGCTTCCTTTGTTGATACCTGTAAATAAGCACAGACTTTGAATGTGGCAGTAACAGCATGTGCAGGGACAAATGACAACAGTAACAAGAAAATAATATCTTTCTTATGGAGCTGGACATAAGAATTAAGATGGAAAATATAGCTTAATGAAGTTTCATAAACTAGATTCGGGAACTAAGGCCACACCTCGAACTCATCCAATTTCCGCACACCAAGTACTTAAGCACACCTTTTCCGTTCACCTCCCCTTGACTCAGCTTTCTCATGAGCGTGACAAACAAACGAAATCATTTAACGTTACCTCCAACGACGGACTCAGAACTCATTCTCAATCTTTCGGACAGCGACATGTTCGACGAGCACCTAACATCAGATATACAGGAGTCTTCGCCTTCTCCCGAACAACTTCGTCTGAAATGTCGGCTGCATTCAACTACTCATATTCCCCGGCGAACTCAGCCTACGATCTCCGACAATTCGAATATTGTCGGCCTTCGCCTGCCAGCAGCTCCAGGGGGAGATCCCGGCTTCGGCGCCCCGAGCACACAGCCTCGACTAGCCGCCGTCCGCCGGCCCGCTCAAGGTACAGGCGCCCGAGCGACCTCCGAGCCAGCACCCCGACCCTCCCTCCACTCCAAACATTTCTGAATGGACAATCGTCCGGCTCCAACAAGAACTCAACCGGAGAAACATCTCTTTCCACTCCGACAACAAAGCAAAACTTTTTCTACAGTACAAGGGGTGATTATCACATTTCCCTCACGTGCGTCTTTTTCTTGCGTCTTATTCCCGCCCACCGGGGATGCATGGAGAGATGCAAGGAAACCAAGCCAGGAGAGAAGGAACGAGGAAATATGTTTTTAGAGACATGAGACGTCCTTTCCTCCGAAGCGCCACATGAAGCGACGTGTCTGATGACGGCGGCAGCTGATCACAGCTGGATCAGCTGTCAGTCGGTTCTAACAGCTGTAGAGACTTTTGATGGAGTCTGTGTCTGCACACATGTCCACTGTTCTAATACTAATAAGGTCCTAGTCATCAATGCAGAGCAGCATGATTCTCTCTGTAGCTGTTACCTGTTTAACACCTGCACATGAATAATTATAGGTTACTGTAGGCCTATGTCCTGCTCAAAGGCACGTGGATCATTTGTACTGCGTATGCTATATTATCTGCATTTGTATTTGTTGATTCTGATTGTAAATTCGTTACTGAATAACCCAGAATTTTATCATGTTTTCATATTGGCTCTATGTTTAAGGGAAATTGAAATGATCGACGCTCAGTTTTAGGCTTTCACTTTATTTCCTCTTCAGATAACACCTAGTCTACTGCATGCATTTAATTTATGCAAGTCACATCACTCATCACCAATGGATCACTGCGTTCCATTATACCAATCCGACGCTTTTTTTGAGCGCAGCAGCTTTCATTCATTCTTTCATCAGCTGAGTTTACTCGCGGAGCCGCTGGCTGCTTTCATCAGATGCAGAGGGTGAGATCGGCTGGATGAGCGGATTCATTTTCCTTTGCTTGCTTCATTAGAGACTTTGGTGCAGTTCAGTGACTTGTCCGACTCCTAACTTGTTTACTATGTTTTATTGTCGTCAATTGGACTAAACAGGAATGACCAGCCTCACATGCGACTGAATAGAAGACGATACATTCTTGCTGACAGACTCTCTGACTTTATTGTCTCTCCATAATAAAAGTTTATGGGAGACATAAAAGAAAAATAAAATCATTCTAATAGCCTAAATGAAGAAGTGTGGGGATTTTGTTGGTCAGACCTACAATGAACTCAGATTTTAACTAGACAGTGAATCATAAAACAAATCAAATATAGCCTAACACTTTGCAGTGATACACTCGAGTTTATTGTTATCTGTGGTGATGCATCAGATCAGTCCGATCAGCTGCAGCGTCCAATCAATATAACGGCTCCCAGTAAGGGGCGTGTCGGTCCGTAAAAGACTTCCGCGAAGGATGCACTGGTGTATCCTCGCTCATAGCTCCTCAGAGATTGATCCTCGGACCTCGGGCCTCGTTCCTCGCTCCTGGGAGCGCAAATGAGAGCTTTGGGACTGCCTGCAAGATGGCGGAGCGGAACAACTTCCTGTTCAAGAGAGGATCGAGGAGCGAGGAAACGACAAATTAGATACTTGAGAAGCACCTGTCAGTTCCAAATCCGCAGCAAGATCCGTTCTGCACATGCGCAAAAGTGGTTCTGTCAGTCAAAGAAGGTTACCGCAAATCTGCCTATTCAAAATGATCCAACTGTAGCAATACAAAGCTGTAGGGTTAGCCGGTCGACATGCATACAATCGGATTCGCACACAACTCTCCAACAGCACTTCCGGGTCACCAGCGCTACTTCCGGGGAAACGCCAACGACTCCGCAGCGCATCCCCCAGCTAAAGATGCAGAATACAACCACACATCAGCCCTCACACAGGGCCAGGTCGTATCGAACCTAGCTGCACCCCAACCTCTTTCTCATTCGTTTCCTACATCTCAAACTATCAACCTGCATCCTTCCATCCCTGCATCCTTTCTTCTTCCGTTGTTCCTACTTTCCCTATCCCATCTCCTCTGGCCCCATCAGTCCTTCCTGCCTCAATACCAGCTACCGCAGAAACCCAGAACGCACCCACTCAGGTGACCCACGACTCTGCCATTGGCCAGACCTTTCCTCCTGTCTATCCTTTTCCCCCTCCCTTCCCACTCTCCTCTTCTAACATATCCCTTTTCTCCACAGCCCCACCCACTGCCGCGCCGGCTGGTTCTTTCCACTTTTCCACCCCCGTCTAATCATTTCACTTTAGCCACAACAACACTTCTGGTGCGCCCCAGGGGCCCAGCCAGACCAACCCCCAGTGTCACCCTCTCCACGCAGAAGATTCTCGCCGGTAACCACATCGAACTCGCGTCACCGATTATCCATCCTCACATAACTCGCTTACTCCAAGGGAACTGCAAACCATTCTCAGCCCTATATCAAATTCAAGCAACCACTTCCCACCAGATCCAAAGAACTAACACCAGCAGAATTTCGCTCCCGTTTTTCTTGGTACCCCGACAACATAAGTTCAGTCTTCCCCGACCGCAGGTCAGAGCTAGATGTTTTGGCTACCTGTCCCTAATCTTAGACCTGGCCTTGCGGTTCGGCAGCACCAGTCAAGCTTATTCCAATCCAATCCATCCATCCATCCATCCCATCCATCGTCAACCGCTTATCCTGCGTACAGGGTCGCACCATCGTAGTCTCTCTGCCTCCCGCCCCAGCTCCACACTTCCAAACCCAACCGTTTCCCGCAGACAGCCTCTCATAGCTCCCCCACCATCAATCACTCCCCAACTAGTAGGGATGGGCATTGCTACTCTGTACCAGCCCGGCATCGAGTAGAATTGAAACATCTTCAGCCAATATAGTACTTCAGATACGTACGCCTACTTTCATAACTAGATCACAAAAAATAAATAAATAAATAAAATGAATATATATTTTAAATAATGGTTTGCTTGCAGCCAAACACACAAGCAACACACCGAAAGAAAGAGAAGAGCACGCCCTTTTCTCCTCATGTGCCTGCACCATAAACTGTAAAATGAAGGCCTGCATGCGCCGAGTACATGCGTGATTTTAGCAACCGCACACCTTCGGCTGCAGTATCAGGCATGTTTGTCTCCGTTGCAAGTTTTTCACCACAATCCCGGGTTTCCGTTGGTGTCATCTTCTGGTACCAACTAACACTTTGCCGTACATTTTTATGCGTTATTCCCGCATGTCCACCGACCCAGTCAATGGTCCAGGCCAATAAACCATTTTAAATCTTCTATGTTCATAGGCGTGGTCTTTGTTAGTGAAAATAAACTACGTGTCGACCGTCAACTGAATCACCATGCAACTTTCATGGTCCTGAGACAAACAATTTATAGAAAACTGGAGTATCTTTTTAGTAAAGAACATCTAAACTAGTGCTGAACTGTCTTAATTTCACCTCTAACCATGTCAGGAACCATTTGAGGACAGGCTGCTGTGGATCTGAGGTTTTTAAGTTCTCAAGCCCCCAGGCACCTTCTATTCTATAACACCCAATCTCTTCACTGAGAAAATCTTCCCTCCACTTTTAAGAGAATAAAACATTGGAGCATTATGAATATTGAAAGGTTAGACTTTGAATTAAAAGTCCGATGCCCGATTTTGCTCTGGCATCCTGTCATTTCTGCGTTTGTTATTTTGGAATTTGCTCTGGAGCTACTCTAGACACCCATAACACACCAATAAATTTATAACATATCTAGAAACATAACCTAGACTTAATGCAGATTTTAAATGAATTCATCAGGAAATCTAAAGTTTCAACAACTACAAACATAGTTCAAAGACATCTATTAAGTTTGAAATCATTCAGACTAAGCGTTGTACTTGAACTTACTGCCATACATCTGTTCAGCATATTTGAGTGATTTAAATGTAAAGATTTAAAAGTTTTTCACCTCTAGTAGTGCTATAGCGCAATTTTGTTTTGAGCCTGTCCGCTTTTTGTTTGGATCTTATGGACACACACAAGCATGTGGGTTATGTGACACACATACCTGCTAAAGGTTTTAGAGTACACCACTGTTTGACAAATTGGCGCCAATAATGCGCCCAAAAAAACAAAGCAATGTGTCAGCTAAGGAAGAAGACTGCAAGCTAGCAAAACTGGATGTAAATTTGAAAAATCTGCAAAATTTTTTTACAACAAAGGAAATGCATTCAACAAGTTTATCAGGCTTCAAGGAATCACACAATACTTTAACGCTGAATATGAACATAACTATTCCACAGGGTATCTTTAAAGCCAGTCTGTGGCTCACTGTTGACATTCTGCCTCACTTACTTATGTGTTGTTGCAAACACTGGTAAGTAGCTTCTCAGTTATGTATAGGAGGCATACACTGTTTGCTGTGGGTTTGGCCAGTGGTGAGCTGTGTTGTGGCTACCAAAATCAGTGTGAACATTAGCTGATTAGCTTTAATCACTGGCTTATTATTTCTATGCTTGAGTAGCTTTATGCATGCTGGTTAGCATAGCCTCTTGCTAAATGGCGTTGTGTTGTAGACAGCTCATTTAGATGAGTTACTAATTTTGTGGCGGAAATGTTTACTGAACTTGTTTTCTTACACAGGGTACATGTTTCTTAATTAACATTCTGACATGATTTCATTCCAGCCATCAGCACACATTTTCAGTGTCACATTTGTCTGCTAAATTTGTTTTATGGTTCATGCCTGTGACTGCTGGGAAAGAGAATGAAAGAAAGAGATAAAGTGATGAAACATCCTTAACAGCCCAGACTCAGTCTATCTTCACAGACTCCACTCTCTCAACCTCACTCTTTCAGTCTCTTTCAACTCTCATCCTCTGTCTTTTTTATTTTTTTACAACACTCTTACCAATCTCATGTCTCGATTAGCCACTTCTCTTCCTCCCGTGTTCTAAAATGTTTTCCTCTTCAACCCTCTTTCAGCTTTGGGTTGTTTTGGAGCCACAACCACTGTGTAATATATTCATTATACTGGGTGTGTGAGTATATCTTGCATGTGTTTATTTATATTAACAGTCTTTCAGTGTAATTGGATGTTGTTTCCTGATTGTGTCATCCAAAAGTTCTAGGAAACAACAGTGACAGGTGCATGGTAGAATATAACAAAAAATAATCAAGAAAAAAACATTGTTGAAGTGACAATGTCAAAGTAAAATAATTGTATTACTAAACAATATACAAGGCCAGCGAGTTAATAATCAGAGAATTGCCAGTGAGAAAGATAGAGAGAGGAGAGAGAAAGAGAGTGATCTCAGTAGGGGAGGTATCTCCCCAGAGCCCATCTGTCTGAGAGACCGGAGCCCATCTTTTATTACTCAGCAAAGCTTCACCATGGCAACCTCCTCCCGGCAACCCAGAATCACATTTCTAGCTTCACTTCTCAGAGGACGCCTTTGACATCT